TTGTGACGCTCCGCAACCCTCAGCGGTGGAAGCTAACGAACTGAACGGCCAGATCAGCTCACAGAGCCCTCAGACACGCAGACCACTGCAGCCAACACAGCAGAGTCCAGCAACACCGGCACAGTAAAGACCCACAGCTGTAAGATCGTTTTAACATTCATACCGCTGTTATTCTGTCATTACATTCTGAATATATTTGTAAGGTTTTAAGTTAAATCAAGAGACATCTGGATGATGTACAGAAATGTTGATGTACAAAAAATCTGGTCTTGTGAATCTTTGCGTCTTTGCTTTATTATTATTATTATTATTATATTAGACATTACATTGTTAGTGTACAGTAGAGTTGTGGTCACTGTATATAGTAGAGACCAGCATCTGCATAGACGTTTTACCCCCACCTCCACCGTCTCTGTAGCTATCCAGGCGATTTGCGATCACAGGAGCCAGTGTTTTCTTTAAGGATTTACTTTGATGATTAGAACGGCTGCTGTCAGTCATTTAAATGTTTCCATCCGTGCAGTAATGTCACAGCAAATATCATGAGATAAAACAGAAAAAACCTGCAGTAATAAACTTGACAGGACAGACAGAGGAAACAGAATTAAACTTTCAGCTTCTATAATCCACGTTTAGCCTCTGATGGAGCTCAGGGTTGATCAGGAGGACGGCTGCTTTACTCCAAACACTTTTACTGTATGAAACTGGACTCTGTGTGAGACCTTTTAGATGTGAAGAATAACACAGAACATGAATTAACACCAGATCCTGACCGATCCTGTCGGCGTGTCGGGAGATTTACAACCGCATAAAATGTGATTTCATTTTATTGTCAACCTAATGAGGCTGTATAAAATGATTCTTCAGGACACAACACATAAAAGGTAAGGACTTCATAAAGTGCCTGCCTGTAAGCTGGATGGTATGCTTACTCATATAGGGACACAATATCTACAGCTAAAGCTAATAAAGATATCATTGTTGTCAGTGTGATATAAGTAGTGGTGATGTACATACACAATGTTGTTTCTTATAGCCTACATAAACAGAAATAAAATGTTTCCGTTTTAATCTCTCCAGTTTACTATTTATACTCTTAGTAAAGTTCATAACAAGTCAACTTTACATGCAGAAGATCAAGTATACGGTTTTACTCTAACTGTAGACAAAATAGCACAGTTCAATAGAGTAATAGACCCCACCGTGGCAAAGTAAGCGCACCATATAACGTACTGCATGTGATAACTCATGTGCAGTGCGTGAAAGGGCCATCGACTGTGTGATTGAACAGCTGATACTCGCACATTAGTTTCTATCATGGGTAAGTAATAGCTACTCCTGCCAGACAATAAAGTGTACTAAACTTTACAGTGTAGTGATGTTAACACAGTATATCGTTAGTGAACACTACTGCCGGTCAGTTTTTGGTTGTCATGGTAATGTATTAAGTCCGACTATTAACCACACCCCCATTCTCTGTTTGAGAAAGAACATTAACCAAAAACGGCTGTTAAAACTTGCTGGAGGGGGGCTTTAAGCACAGTTGCAATGATATCTTCTCCTTTTCACCTTTAATAATGCTTATACCGGTAATTATGGGATTGTATAACTGCTTATGACCCTGAGAAGAGTGTCGTCATTGTGGAAAGATATTTGATAGAACATGCGCAAATAGACTTTGAGACATTAACTCTTATTAAATAAAAATTTCTTAAAATACAGAAACCTCAAGACAAAAGGTGACCTCCCACCGTTTGACATGCCCCAGAGGAGTGACAAACAAATCCCAGAAAACCTTGTTGTCTCGCACTCTTATTACGCTCTGGTCCTGAAACTTTCCTGCCTTCAACAATTTTCTGCCAGGAGAAACCTCCATGACCTTTGTCTACCCCCAGCGCCACAAGGGCGCAGTTATATTTTCTGCCCCCCCTCTTCTAGAACCACCAACGGGCAATTTACCTGCTGCCGTTTTTCCATTGTAGCCTAGGCCTATTTGTTTCTATACAATATTCATAGTCCCCCAGTCTTAGTTTTTAGTCTCAGTAAAAAAGTGTGTTATGTAGCCTAGGCTACCACCCACTTTTGTTAACAGGTGTTAATATAAAGACAGATTGAAAAAAAAAACGTTGAAAAAAAAAACGTCATTTAGGCCTGTGCATAAGCGCCAGCAGGTAGAAATTGATCTCTTCATATAAACATTCTGTGTTGCTACTGGCAACACCTTTAGTCTACTAATAAACATTCATGCAGACTTGCTCAGTGCAGCGAGTGAAGGAGAGGTTTATGGTGGGGAGGTTAGAAGAGTCATGATGTGTCATGGATTCATTCTGCATCTGATGGCTCATCATCTGATGGCTCATCATCTGATGGCTCATCATCTGATGGCGATCCACTTGCACAGAGTAAACATGCGTAAATTCTGTATTCATTTTCATTTGCCAACAGCAAGGCTAGGCTGAATAGAGTGAAAACTTTTAGGGAGGCATGATCATCAAAACAAATGCTGCAGCGGATCGACTTTTCAAACTGCGTGTAGCCCTAAATTATGGCTTGCAATTATTCTAAGATATAAAACATATGCCTATAGGCCTAACATGAAGTATGGTCTATAAACACAGAGCCTATGAAATAGACTTAGTGCAAAGTTGTCTTTCCCTGTGATAGGCTACAGGTGTCTTTTGTGTCCCTTAAGAAGCGCGTCTCTCCCTCGTGTTTTTTTTTTTTAATCTATGAAGAATAGTTTTACACCACCATTTAGGCTATTGCCTATAAAAACAACAATTAGTCAGTCATTTTAATACACCATAATTTAGAAAAATGACTCTGTGTTTAGAATATTGGGTAAAGTAGGTAATTGTTATATTTGTGCATCTATAGTGAAAACACCGACATTTTGCCACCCACAGGATGAAAACAAATACAGAAATTGGCATAGCAGGCTGATAACCTATGGTTATCAAAAAGACCAAAAAGATTATTGGCCCTATCTTGCACCCAGCGCAAAGCGGTGCAAAGCACAGCGCAAGTGTCATTGCTAGTTTCCAACCAGCACAGTTGTCATTTTCATGTCAAGCCCCAAGTCGTTTAAATAGCAAATGTACTTGCGCCCATCTATGCGGCCATGGGAGTGCTGGTCTTAAAATGAAGTGTGGTCAGACAAATTGTTGGCACATTGCTATACTGAGACAGCAGAAAGTGAATGTGCCATTGACCCAAAAAACAGGTCTAACATCATGGCAGTATTTCACTGTTGTTATTTTAGGGGCACATTACTGTGACATTTGTTGCGCATTGTGCACAACGCACAGCAGAGTAACTTCATTGATTATTAAAATCAGGATCGGTCAGGATCTAATGTTAATTGATGTTCTGTGTTGTTCTACACATCCAAAAGGTCTCATACACAGTCCAGGTTCATACAGTGAAACTGTTTAAGGGTAAAGCAGCCGTGCTCCTGATCCATACATCATATCCATCAATAAAACACAAAACAAAGAAACCAGTGTAGGGGAGAGATGTGACCCACGAACGTTTCATCATACTTTATCATACACAGCGTAGTGAGAATCAGTTTCTCTCTGTTAACAGACTGGAGTTCCGACACTTCACTGATAAAACAGGCCATTTTTTCTGCTGTCAAACTATCAGAATTAGAGTCGGACACGCCCCAAACCCAACTGTGCCATGTGCTTCATGCCGTGCGCTTACATCGTTACCTCAGCAATGTTTAGTTATATTCATGAGGTCTCGCAAACCTTTAGAGACTTTTCTTCATTTTGCTTTTGTTTAAAGTAAAGCAACCATCAAGTTTTTGCTTTTGAAACCATCTCTCGTTTTAAATTAACTTTCACTACTTCATCGGCCAATGGAGTCAGTAAAGTATTTCAAACGACACTCGACATCAGCACCATGAGCCACAAATCAGAACCATGTCTACTGTTAGACTGTTTCCTGCCGCTGCCTGAATGTTGAGGGGCCACGGAGCAAATCAGCTGTTCTAAACATTGAGTCCCGCCGGGCTGCCTTCCCATGTGCCTAGCCTGTTGAGAAAGCCGTCAAACCGCGACGAGCCGATGGACAGTGTGTGGCTCTCGGACAGGCTCAGGAAACAACAAAAACAGTAAGGCAAAACAAACAACATTCTGTGATTAGAGATGTCCTGGAGTTTTGAAACTTCAACCCTTTAGAATTGAAACGGATCAATTAATAATTGACTGAGTATTAATAACTAGCAAAAAATTTATATTAAAATATTTATTATGTTATAATAAAGAAAATGAATCAGTTCTTTGTTGTTTCAAACCGTTTCCACAAAGTTGAGAGCATGAGCAATTAGCAAAATATCTTGGTATGCTGAAGCTTTAACAGTTCCTTTCACTGGAACTAAGGGGCCAAGCCCTGAAAAACGACCCCACACCATAAACCCCCTCCACCAAACTTTACAGTTGGCACAGTGCAATCAGGCAAGTACCGTTCTCCTGACAACCACCAAACCCAGACTCGTCCATCGGATTACCAGACAGATAAGCGTGATTCCACCACTGCATCTGACACCTTGCACTTGGTGATGTAAGGCTTGGATGCAGCTGCTCAGCCATGGAAAACCAGGCCACACAACGTTTAGAGGTCTATAGCTATTGACTGTAAAAATGTGCACCGTGTACCTCAGCATGCGCTGACCCTGCTCTGTGATGTTATGTGGCCTACCACTTCATGGCTGAGTTTCTGATGTTCACAATCGCTTCCACTTTGTTATAATATCCTAATAGTTGATCGTGGAATATTTGGTTGTGAGAAAATTTCACGAACGGACTTACTGCACAGGTGGCAACCTGTCACGGTACCACACTTGAGTGACACTGAGCTCCTGAGAGCGACCCATTCTTTCACAAATGTTTGTAGAAGCAGTCTGCATGCCGAGGTGCTTGATTTTATACACCTGAATTCAGTGATTTGGAGGGGTGTCCTTAAACTTTTGGCAATATAATGTATAGTCTTACTGGCTGCTCCCTCGTAGATCTTGGGGTTGGTTCCTCTCCTTAGGAACTCCAGCGCTATGCGTCCAAACTCTCTAACCACTGAGGACCAAAAAACACAAATGCTCAATGAATGAAACACCAAAGCCATCAATGTGTAAAATTCATATTTCAGGTTAGGATGATGGTAAATGGACTCTACTTGTATAGCACCTTTTTCATCCCCAAACCACTCAAAGCACTTCACTTACGTCACATTCACCCATTCACACACTGATGATACAGGCTGGCATGCAAGGTAGATGCTCATTTCAGCAGCAAATTACAAACCGTGCGCTCTGGAGGGGAGTTCCTGACTGTTTCCACACCAAAAAGAAAGGCAAGGAAATGGCTACAGCATACCAGTTATGTTAAACCATATCAGAGAGAGATATTTAATGTGTCTTGTTCGGCACTAGAATCAATGTATCATTTTGTTTCATATACACAACAAAATCAAATCATATTAAGCCATTAAATAATGTTACAGTTTCAAGTGGTAGATGAGATGCTCTGGCATCAGGTTAACTTATTTTTAAAGAGAGTAACGTTAACAGTCTTAAAGGGACCTTTTGACTGAAATGTGTATTTGGTTCCAAGGAACCATTGCAATCAGTGGTGAAATGCAAATATGTGAGTATTTGATGTTCTTTACGTTCTCTACTTCACAAAATTATTATATTAATATTATTTATATTACATAAGCAAACATTTACATCATTATATTATTTATTTTTACTCAGCAGCTACATTTAATAGACTAGATCTGTCACAGATTAAGATTTTACTGAGTCATCTAAAATATGATGACTAAAGTAGTTCAGATTAGCTCCCAGGACACACACACACGCTGATTATGTTTCTGTACTTGTAATGCAGTTAGTTTTGACTGGTTAAGGAAGAGAAGCAACACTACAAAGTATCTTAATTGTTCTTCCACTGCTGTGCAGTATGAGAGATCCTCTGTTATCCTGACACTTCCCAGCTCTACTCTTGAACGTCAACATTTTGCGTTGGTGACAGAGACGGTTAAATATTTTCTAAATGCACCCCGTGTTCACAGTCAGCTGCCAGTCACAAGGTGACATCACAGAAGCAGCAGATCCCTTCACGCTGCCGTGCCCCCTTTCCCCCGTCAGACTAGCTCATCACCTGCGGCGTCGACCTTCGGCAGGAAGGCGAGGTGCTCCTTGTGGTCTTCAGACAAAACCAGCAGCATCCTGAACGAGAACGTCCTGTTCAACAACCCAACTACACTTTATCAGTCAGGAACAACCCGGAAAACGGTCAACCGCAGCGCGTCCTTCTTCTTTGGTGTTCCCCCGCAGCTGTTGTCCTGGTTGTTGCATTACTGCCATCTTCTGGACTCAATCACCTCCTTCAGCGAGCCTGATCCAAGGGGTAAGCCCATTAACGACGCTGAAGTTAGCTTCCGATTCGGCAGTTAAGGCCAAAGTTAAGGGGAACTTAAGTGAAAGTTAACTTACGTTGCTGAGCGACTGAATCTCCGTTTTTTGCACCTCTTACTGCTGTGAAGAACGCTGTTAGGCAAAGCCTTAACGCTTAACGTCAGATTTGAAAAAACTTATCAAGAGTAAATTTATGTTTTGATGCTTGTTCAAAAGGTAAATATAATAATAATAATGTTGTTTTAAAGTAAAACATAGGCTCTTTACATGTCCATCACCAATGAAATGGAGAGACGTGGGCTTATCAAATGAAGGATGTGGAAAAATTGTTAAGCAATACTTTTTACATTTTCACAATGGAATAAAGATTTTACAGGACTATGTCTCCAAAAGTCTCTGGCTTCTCTGACATAATAAACTTTAGATTTGAGAGCTCTAGCTGTGGTGGTTTTGGATCTGGACCTGGTCTAATGTGGTCTGCATGTGGCGAAAGAGCAGTGAAATCGCCTTTTATCATTTTCACAAATAAAAAAAGTTTAAATACTTAAATACTTTCATTAATACAGGCCAATATACTTTGACTTTCAGTTGGTTTACCATTTAAAATATGTAAATAATAAACAGACAAATGGTTGTCTTCTTTGGAGTTGTCTGGAACGCAGCGCAAGTTCCACCTGGCATTGTTTACTTGTGCTACCTCTTCATAATGTGTAGTGCTTTCTGTTACTTTAGTAGTTTATATTGAGTTTAATTCAGTGAGAGTTCATTCATAAACTGATATGTTCAGTTTGCCATTCAAAAACATCAAGAACCACTAATGATATCAAATGTGTTTATGCAAAACATTTATTGTGTGTACAAAAAGTAGTTCAACAGTTAATCATGAATGAAAACTTTCATTTGGCATGCAGAATTAACTCAGATGTTCATTGTTGGTCACTTCCCAATTACTACACAGAAGTTGTTGCTTCTGCCAATATGAAACAGGATTTTCACATCCTTCACTCACCAACTGAAAACTTGAAACTCTAAGCAGAAAACTATGAGTAGTGTTCAGTATTGTTTTATCAAAATCTTCAAATATATTTAAGCCCACAAATCAGTTTTTACCCTTCTGTTTGGGCCAGGAAAGCCCAACCCTGAATCATCCCAGAAATCCTAAACACAAAATAATGAAACATTTCATGTAAACATAATGATTATATAGACAAGAACTCTATAGAAAAATAACTAGCAATGGACAGCACACAAGAACATATTAGTATCCCAAGATGGCACACAAGGTGCAAGAGCAATACTATTACAATGTACTGCAATCCAAAACAAAAGAAAATACAGAGATGGAAATAATGCAGTCCATCAGAATATCGCCACACACCGTATCAGTTAATCAAGTGTTTTCACCATTTTACTGCTTGTAATGTTATGCAGTACATACATGTCAGTTTAATATTTTACACTGACAAAGCCACTCACAAGCCTTTTCTTTTAAGCATATTATTTTAGTGGCCCAGCTAGGGATCAAAACACCAGACCCACATCCACCAGGTAAAACTTCAGAGACAATCTGGACCAGTCTGTTCCATGACAATCCCAGCAAAGAAATGGTGACTGTTATTACAACAGCATTCTAGCAGATGAGTTAACAAGTTTTATGGCTGTAAACCTATTTATCTAGCACTGCACTAGCCAGGAGATCTGGCAAATCTGAGACACTTATTTTTGGAAGGTGTTGGTGACTGAAACTATAGATATATATAGCAATGGGCTACTCAGAAGGAACTCGTTCGGATCATTCCGTGGTTTTGAGTCACAGATCGGATCATATTTTGGATAGGCAAAAAAACTAAACACATTAGGGTTAAATTAATTTTAAAATGAGCTACTTTGGCTCTGATGTAGCCACTTCTCTCTGTCGCGAGACAGACAGTACTATCTGATTGGTTACACGTCACGAGTAATAGCTTTTCAACATGGAAGGCTGCCATGCTGCATGAGGCCAAGTTGGTCCGTCCGGTGACCAGTGGTGGTCAACAGGATCAATACAGAGAGGGGGATCCATTTCTCTCTTCTACGTATTTATTCCACTACAACACCACACATAGGCCTCACAGATAATTCATTCTCTACTTTTTCAATATAACAGCTATCAGAAATTACAGGTTGTGAGTCAAAACTGTGAAATACAGCTTCAATGCGCAACTGGAAGATAACATCCCAAGCCTCTCCAAACCTTTCCAGCAAGCTTCAAATGGCTGTTTATTCAAGCTCTGCCAATAAGACTGAGATCAGATGAACTATCACATTTCATTGCTATTTTTAAAGAAACAAGGGAGAGAAATAGAAAAGGATAGAGACAAAGCAGAGGGATAGGGGACAGCTTCAGGACTATGATCAGGATTCTGTACCCCAAAGGTTTGGAGCTCATTTGTGGCGGCTGAAGCTCTCAGTCCAACACCTGCCAGTTGGCTGCTGAGCAGCAGTGTCATCAAGCTAACTTTTAATAATGGGATAATCAGTCTTTCAACACAAACTCAAATGAATGCATAATTTTAACAGACTGTCACTACTCAATCTGTAATCTCAACTGCACTATGCAGATCTTTCAAAGGAAGACAAATAAGAAATACAGAGAAAGTGTGCAGCAGGGCAGAATCTATACGGGTAACTACTAGGGGTGTGACAAGATTAAAATGTGACGAGACTCATGCAACTGACACTTTTCACACGCTCTTACATCAATTTTCTAACGCAGTGAAAATAAAATGGAGCAGTGGAGTGCACAAACCTTGCTCTGTTTGGGACTGTGAGCTGCACTTTATTAAAGCTGTGTGTGGATTTGTGGTGAGATTTCTGCCTGATCACAAGTGTTTTCACTTTTCTGGTTTCCAAACAATCCGAAGGGAATACTACCAGTGGAGCAGTAATGTAATCCACAGCAGTAAGAAGCAAGTAGACTTTTTTAAGTAAAATTTACATGAATTCTCATTATAAGATAGTTAGTCTCGTAATTTTACAACTTTTTTCTGGACATTTTAGAGACCAAAGATATATGGGAGAGATTCTGAACCTGCTGAAACACAGGAGCTACTAAAGTCCAAGCGTTTACGACTGAATTAAAATTAATACAGATGAAAAGGTGTCACAAGCACATTTAAGCCCCTTTTCCACTGCATGGTACCAGCTCGCCTTGATTCGCCTTTGTTTGGTTTTCCATTGTAGAAAAGTTGTACCTGCTACTTTTTTTCATATCACCTCCGTCACGGTTCTAAGCAAGCTGAAGCGATACTAAAATGTGATGCGACAACACAGCAGACTACTAATTGGTCAGAGAGAATTGTCACTATTCACTGCATCATGATTGCGCACGCTGGAAAGAGGCCAGCAACAAAGTTTTATATTCTACAATTTTCATACATTATATCTGAGAAGTTTTGAGGTAAGAAATCAACTGTGTAGATTTCAAATATTGAAAGTTTTACGAAAAGTGATGGCGGAACAAAAATTTGGAGTTGAGGAGCTCCCCAAGTGGTGGCGGGGGAAGCCTGTGGCATAGAGCCCTCTGGTCCCACTGTCACATAGACCGCTGCAGCAACAATGGCAGAAACGTATCTGAAAGGAATACAGAATCTCTGAGCCCTGCACTGCATTATATTCTGTTAAGAGTTTTAGATTTAGAATTGTCACCACTTGAATTTTGTTTCCCTTCACATAAGCAAACATTTACATCATAAATTGCTGCAGAAATTTTCACCACAATGTAGGAAATTAACTGTTTAATGCTAAAAACCTTGTCTCGATCTCATGAACCCAATATCGTCTCCGGTCTCAACTCGTGAACGAAGTGTCTCGTCACACCCCTCGCAGCCACACAAATAAATGTTATATATGGGAAACACTTAAAGACCTTAAAGGTCTTGATTTGACCTGAGCAGCTCTTAATTGAATTTTTTCTTCTTGTCGTCCTCTGTGCATGTAGGATGAAACTAAAATGCTCACCAGAGAAGAATGAAAGACAGCCTGTGGGTGGGCTACCTCCGCACTAATACCTTTTTATTTTAAACCAGCGTTTCAAACCATCTCCATACAAATGAGCATTTTAGCACTGTCACAGAAATCTCTAGCCATATTAACACGCCTGAAAAAAGCATATCACATGATCATTCACATACACTGGGAATGCCAGTCTAAACAGGGAGTAGATTGTCCACTCTGCCGTGGGTTTCTTAGTGGCAGAAAATACTAGGAATGAAGACCAGAGATTTCTTTCCTTGGACAGTTATTGACAGAATAAAGCAAACATAGATTGAGAGTCACCTCAAAGCAAATACAGTGATATATTAGAGTGGTAGCTCTCGGTCTTAGGCGTTGGAAAACACCGGTGTAGGGAGAACCTAGGTGTAAAAGTTATGCGTATTTAAACAAAAAGGTATTAGTGTGGATGTAGCCTGAGTCAATATCATGTAGAGTGATGCAAGTAGGGGCTCCAACAACATTTGGATCTTTGCATGATCCACTGACGTTGTCATTGCAAGTTATATTTAGATAAATGACTCATATTAAAGTAGGTCCAGAAATGTGTCCAAAAAATCTCATATTGTCTTGAACAATAAAATCACCAGATGAGGCGGCAATGGACAGGATCATACCTGAGTGGCTTTAAAAAAGAAGGAAAAAAAGAAATATAACAGGGAAGTCAAAGTCATCAACCAAATAGGAAGGCTTCACATGATGGCACACTCTCTGGATGACACTCTGCCCTGTAGGGGAAACAGAAAGGTCCAGATTTTCACAAACAAAAAAACAACAACAAAAAAAAACATCACTCCTCCAAATCACTGAATTCAGGTGTTCCAATCACTTCCATGGCCACAGGTGTATAAAATCAAGCACCTCGGCATGCAGACTGCTTCTACAAACATTTGTGAAAGAATGGGTCACTCTCAGGAGCTCAGTGAATTCAAGCGTGGTACCGTGACAGGTTGCCACCTGTGCAAGTCCATTCATGAAATTTCCTCACTACTAAATATTCCACAATCAATTGTTAGTGGTATTATAACAAAGTGGAAGCAATTGGGAACAACAGAAACTCAGCAACGAAGTGGTAGGCCACATAAAAATCACAGAGCAGGGTCAGCGCACGCTGAGGTACACAGTGCACATTTTTACAGTCAATAGCTATAGACCTCTAAACGTTGTGTGGCCTGGGTTTCCATGGCTGAGCAGCTGCATCCAAGCCTTACATCACCAAGTGCAAGGTGTCAGATGCAGTGGTGTAAAGCACGCCGCCACTGGACACTAGAGCAGTGGAGACGTGTTCTCTGGAGTGATGAATAACTGTACAAACCTGGACATTACAAACTCAGTTGCCAGTTTATTAGGGTATACTTAGCTAAAACTAATGGAGATTAATATAACAGTCCAATATCTGTAAGATTGTATCTACTACATATCCCTCATATATATATATATGTTAGTTTTTGTAATCGTTTTGCAGTATGTAGTTTGTGCTGCTGTTCAACTTTATTGCATTATACATGAGGTAGGATTCATTGCAGAATTGATTTAACAGATGGCATCAGTTGTAGATAGGTGTATCTAATAAACTGTCAACTGAGTGTAGATAGTGAGGCAGGAAGAATTACAGTCCAACAATAAACTGAATTATCAAAGCTGAAAGTACCTATAGTCAGTAAGCCTTGTTGGGAAAATCATTTCAAATGATAACTGCAAGCATTAAAAACAACTCCAAGGTACTGAGAATGAATCAAGACAAAGGGGAGAATCATTTACATGTGTTCTAGGGGTGGGAGAAAAAAAAAATCGATTCTTATATGCATTGTGATGCGGATGTGAAAGATTCTGAATCAATTAACAAATCTACATATCTATAAATTGTACTTTAATTTATTAAAATTTTCCTTATTTTCAAATCTCATTGAAGGCCGTTTTGACGCCTCTGTAGCCCACAGAACCTGCCTGAGCTTTGCAGAACAAAAAGCAACTACTTCAGAGTTTATCATCGACTCATGATGCCTGTGCTCCTTTATCTCCTAATTATATTGGCTACAGCCTTTTTTGTTGCAGATTTTATGGCTGTAGTAAATTTATAAAGATGCTGTTTGTTCTGTTTTTGTAGTTGATTCCACAGTAAAGCTATATTTATTAAGCTGTTTGTTAAGTTAATAATTTCATTATGCTTTAACATCTGTACATTTTAACAATTAATACATTGTTTTTAGGACCAATTGAATAAATATACAGTATACTGTATAATGCTACATGATAAATAAAAGGCTCCAAATAGACCCGGTGATCAGTATCGGCCGATACTGCTTTCAGCAATTGGTGATTGGTCCAAAATATCCTGATTGGAGCACCGCTATTATAAATAACTAGACAGACTATAGTTGTGAATGGAATCACTTTGGGTGGACACTGTAAATATTTTGCACTCTTTAATCCAGTAGGTGACGGTGATGCCACCCGCTATAAAAACGCCAAAAGAAGAATAAGGCCCAGATCAGACAGAAAGCGCTTTGCAGGTTCGAAAATGCAAGGTGTACAGCAATGCCTTATTTTGGTTAAATTTAGAAAAGAGCAAAGGGCTGTTTTTTTTTTATGTTGCTAGGCAACCACTGAATCAGCAGTCCTGTCAGTCTAATCAAAGATTCTAGCGCCAGCGATCTGTAATCTTTGGTTTGCTGCTAAGTAATAACTCATATTAGGAGAAACTTAAATCACAACTCACAGGTCTGTGTCTTGTTGTTAAAAACATCTGCCAAACGGAGGGCGCCTGCTCTGGCATTGTTTGAGGGTGACAGGTGTACAAACACGCAGGAGACTGGGAAAGGGAGATCCGTGTGAGCACATGAGACCCTCAGAAAGAGGAGATACCGCTGGTAGTACCACCAGCTGGTCCAGGTGCTTTATCTTAATGATGGTCGGTTCAAGTCTTATTTTAGGATGAGTCGGGGACTGTTTGTTGCAGTCTCCGTACAATTCAAGGAACTGTAAACTTCCGTCAGCACAACTGAGGGCCACTCTCTCCATTCATTAAATTGGACAATGGAAAGAAATGCAAATGAGGTCGGGCGCTTTTCTGCCTCTGTGCGTTCAGAGCGCTCCTTCAAAAACGCGAGGCGCCCAGGGCACATAAACAGCCCGCAAAACGCTCACTGCCAATACAAAACATTTTTAAAAAGGCTAAATATTTTCAACCTCAAAAAGGGGTCGGACTGCCAGAAAATAAAACCTCCAAAGTGTGGGAGCATTTCACTCTTCACTCAGCCAAAAAGGCTATTATTAACTGCAGCATCTGCAAAGCTGACCTTTCCTGGAAATACCGGAGGATCTGTAGAGGAGGCACGTAATGCTGTTGGCTCTGTGGATGATGAAGACTCGCCTCAATAAGCGGGTAATCCGCCCAAAACTCCCTTTAAAAAAAGTTTTGTGAGTTGTTGAGTTAGGGGAAAATATAGAAAAGTGAAACGGTCTACTACAAATTTGTTATTACTGAATCCCCTGTAAATTCGGCAAATGTAATGCATGCCGTTATTCCTTTTTTCGTATATGGTGTCAGTTTGTCCCGATGTGTTGCAGTACTAAGTACTACTAAACTGCTCAGTCACTGAACAGCAGATCAGAACTTGATTTCAGAGGAACTTTCTGTTGCTGCGGCACTACGCCAGCCCTATGAAAAAGTATTAGATGTATTGATTAGGGCTGAACGATTTTGGAAAATGATCTAATTGTGATTCTGTTTTTTTTTTTGTTTTTTTACCAATATTGCATTGCTATTAAGCCCTTTACCTTCCAGTGTTTCCCATACATAGGCTTTATTTGGGCGGGTCGCCCAGGTAGATTAACTGCCACCCAAGTAAATTTGGGGACCCATTTTAAAGTCGTTCTTGATTGCAGCGCTGCGCATCATCTGACTCGGTCGCTCTCTCTGTCTCGCAAACTTAGACAACAGACCCGTCTGTGAATTGAATGGTTGATATCACAAACACCACTGCTGAGGGCGGCTGTGGCTCAGGAGGTAGAGCGAGAGAGCGTTAATCGGAAGGTCGGCGGTCAGCTCCTCCAGGCTGCATGTCGAAGTGTCCTTGGGCAAGATACTGAACCCCGAATTGCCCCTGGCAGTGTGTGAATGTTACTTTCTGTTTGAGCACTCGGCTCAGTGAATGAATGGTGAATGCAGATGTAGTGTAAAAGCGCTTTGAGTAGTCGAAAAAACTAGAAAAGGCGCTATACAAATATGGAGCATTTACATTTACAAATCCGCCCAACACAATGACCCATCTTCAAATTATTATTAGCGAGCATGTAAGGCGCCTAGCTAATACGGAGAGCTATGTTAACTTTGGAAAACAGCTGTCGAAGTTACCACGCTGTATAACTGGTGCGTTCCAGATAACTGGCTGACTTTTGCCGACTTCATAGATAGGGGAATAAAAACAGTGCCGTCAAGTCAGACACAATCTACCTCCGGTAGACTGCGTGAGCTTAGAACAATGATCAGGCCTTGCTCCCACGAGGTGTAGTGACGTTTTGCAGCTGCCGTGAATTGCATACACATGCAACGCTCTTTTATACTGAGAAAAGAGGTGGATGCAAATTTCGGTAGGTAGCCTACAATATCTGTTTTGCCGAATTATGCAATTCACTTCTTAAGGTCTTTTTAGAACACTTTGCTGTTTGAACGTGGTTAACGCTACATGTTTTCGCTCAATCTCAAGAAATGGTACTTTTACTATGTGTAATAGAATATTAACAATTGTTAACATTCATAAAATATATACTGATCATTTATCACTATTGATGAACCCCACAGAGTAAAGTTAACCAACATAATTAATTAGTGTTTAATAGACATCTTAGTAATTCTCCGACAACACTGGCTGTAACTCTGGACAGACTGGGCCTCTTTCTTGAACGTTTGATGTGAAACACCGTTTCACAGATGTTTCCTGTGTGTGACAACAGCGCCGATCGTCAGAATACACTTAGGCTACCTTACCACACGTGTCTTTCTGTTGTGCACTTTTCCTGTCTGCCAAAGCTGCAGATGGCCCGACAATTTCACCCACCACCACAAATTTACCTGTGGGTTTCTGTAGTGTCAGCTTCTGTCAAGCTTAAGGCCACTGTATAACAAGTCAAGAGACAGCGTAATGTGCAAAGTTGATGATTCATCTGCAGACTGCTTTACTCTTGGGTGTCATGTGACCAGAGCATAATCGCAGCCTTTTGCAATTAGAAAATCTCGTTTTATCATATTGTGATAATATCGCAAATGCAGTTAATCTTTCAGCCCTAGTATCGATTGATTAATTGAAGATTAACAGCTGAATACGGTGAATGCATGTGATTGTTACCTTCATAAGCTGAAAGTATAAAGTAAAAAACAAAACAAGTATACTCACGGTTTGTACCACTTTCTCCTCTTCCTCTCCATTCTCTACATCCACCTGAGTCTTGGTTACACTCCTTCGGGCCACCTCCTGCAGGACAGTTAGTCAGCCCATGTGACTCAAAACAGAAACACCATACTGCAAAGCTCAAGTGCCCTCGCCAAGGATCACACACAGGAACATTCAGAACATGAGGTGGTCTGCGCTTAAAATCAAGGACACAGAAACACAGAGCAAACAGGTAGAATTAGTCATGCACGGATGTCTTTACCTCCCCATCAGCGTTGATCAGAACGGTAACTATGCAATTTCCTGTGCCCCAGGAAGCCTGACTCTTCCACAACAAGTCAGATGGTGGACTGTGGGACACGCCAGCATCAGCAGACCACACCTGTACACACAAAGTGCAGATAAATACATCATGAAGTCTTCATACCGAAGAACTTAAAGCTTTACATGTCAAATTGTAATCAGTACCCCATTAGTTAGTCCATTTGCTCCTCCACACTGTCCTTTTTACCACACGTTTCATTAAAATGGAACAAATACAAAGAGAATCTGTGTATGGTAAACCAAGTCGTTTTAAAAACCAAAACAGAAAACTATTGATTTTGATATTTAATGTGTCTGATTTGTGTAGCTTTGTGTGTTACCCTTGAAAAACCTGCAGCAGATGCACTTGAGATGGCGGTGCATGATTAAATGTAGGCTAATTAAGATGAGCTTGAACTTAAGTGGGTTTTTAGTTAAAAATAGGAGGCTCAACGTTCACTTTGTAACTCACTAACAACTGGGACAGGAACGTCTCAGAAGTTGCCTGAGAATTCTCCTGTTTTTAAGATTTCTTCAGTATAAAATTAATTCAGTCACAGTTGTCAGTACAGCCAATGGTACACAGCAAAAATGAACTGTTATTAGTTAATTCCGTGAGCTGTATTACCTGTTAGAACCTCCAGCTATTTGTCCCCATTTCCAGTTAAAACGCCTAAAATAACATACCCAAAATCCATCAGGAATAACTCCTCAACCATTAGGCCTAGATGCACAGTTCTGGTCTCCTTTGAAAGTTCAGAAGCCAAAGAATATGAATCCAAAACATTATTTTACCAGTACAGATAAAATAAATAGAGATGCAATAAAGAAAAAATAGGATATTTTCATCCTCGCCTGGTAAAAAAAAAATAGCTTTATTTTAATGCAATAAACCATCATAAGAGATTATAATGCAACTGAATATATTTTAATACACCTGGAATGCAATTGTATGTGTAAATTTGATGAAAATAAACTAAAATACAGTTATCATATAACAGTTATACAATATTTTCAAAATATACCAATCAAATGTCCATATTTTGGCAATATTTCCGTTTAAATGTTGACTTTTATTGGGAGTTATTTTTAAAACACTGTCATTGTCCATACAACAATGTTCCAAATAACATAACATTGAAATATTGATAGAAACAGTGAATATTAATCAACATTACTGTGACCAAAAGCAGACCTTTCATTTGATACCGTGGATGTCTATGTAGTTCCTACAGGTCGGCCACCAAATGGCGAAAAAGACTGTATTCCAAAGCGGCACTTCTCACAGGTATTTAGCAATAATCAAGATGGCGCCCGCCGATACTCAGAGCAACAAATCAGCTAATCTTAAGACTGCAAAAATGGCAAAAGTCAGCGGTTTTGACGATCGTGTGCTGCCCCCGGTACCCGGGGCGTTGGTGTTGAACAGGTTTAACGAATCATATACGGATTAAAATGTTCAGGTAATTTTTGTTCATTATTTAAATAGCACACCATGCTGGGCTCATTTGGAGTAAAGCTCGGCATGAAAGCACAGTACTGACAAGCATTTAATGGCAAATTAAGATGTCTTTATTAATTAATTTCAGGCATTGTTTATTCCTATCATTATTATTATTAGTAGTATATATGTAGCCATTTTGCTACAATTAGTGTAGAGAAGACAACAGCTGCAGCAGCCTCTGTACACTATTTTTACCTGACATTTATTTTATTCGTGAGGCGGAAGAATCAAAGTTGTGTGGCGCTGCAAAGAGCCTCCAGCGGCAGTAACATGGATCATGCGTAAAACAAGCAACGTTGGACTTCATCCAGGCAGAGGGAGCAATCACCGACCCACCGCAGTGCGCCGGTTCCACCAGCAACACAACCCATAGTAGGTCTACTGGAGAGGGAGCGGGGTGCTGGAGTGTACAGGGCGAGGGAGAGAAGTCGCGGAGTGACCAGACGCGCTTCGGACGGTCGGTGATCATTCCCCCTGATTGGATGAAGCTTGACACTTCTGATTTTCTGTATCATCAAGGATCATGCGTAAAATAGAAATGAACAGCAAAAATAGCTTAGTCAATATTTTAGAGACACTCCAAAATATCACAAATCATATTTTCAGAGGAGCTATTATTCTTTTCCACATTTTATGACTTATGCATAATGTTATAATGTTGGATGTTCAAAAAATGAGGTTAAAGCATTTATAAGAAAATCACTGTGAACCAAAACCTCAGGTTTCCTCCTGTTCTGAACGCTCTGTTTTGAGCTGCTATTTCTACCAATGGCTCCATATTTGGTCATGTGCTCTCACAGGCAAGGCAATGCTCAGTCTGCCTGTTCCGCCTAGCAATAACAACCGCCAACAGTAACATGCTTCAGGTCTTGGCCAATCAGAAGACAGTGGGCTTTGAGAGGAGGGGGCTTAAAGAGACAGGAGCATCTACAGCTTGTTCAGACAGAGGCTGAAATGAAGGCCTACATGAGGAATCAGTATAAGAAAAATATTATTTTTTTTTTTACTTTGAATCATGCAAAGCTGCCATACAGGAGTCACAGATCTACAATATAGGACTGGAAAATCAGTATAATGGGTCTCCTTTAATCTCCCACCTTAGTTTGCACCCTGGCCATAGCCTTAAGAAAAAAAACCTTGATAAACATATTCAGGTATTTTCTTAGATCACTCAATGACCAGCTGCTTCAGATCAGCCCAAAACAAAATGGTACCTGGATGCTGACGTACTCAATCGATAGCTGACTGGAAATGGAAGAATCCTGAGTGTCTGAGTGACTCGCAGGCAAAGCAAACTGCCACAACAATGAAATGCTTTTGCTCTAGTGAGTTTGAACCCAGATTGGCGTGTTCCTGCTAAAAAAGTAGCTCAGTCTACATTTTCTTCAATTTCTTTTTCGTATGTGGCTATATTATATAGTCCTCACTTCTACAATCATATTAACCACAGTTGATATGAGATGCGATGAGCAGGGCCGAATAGAGTTTAGTCTATCGATTTGCGCTATGGTAGCATTTTTCGGCAAGGCAGCACAGATCGTCAGAACACCAGCAACAGCTCAACGTTTAGTCCTGATGGTAAGATGTGGAACAATGATGTTGTGTGGTTGTGGACTTGAGAGTAACTTAGACCATCTGCTAGGTTACGGTCGCAGTCTGAAGCAGCTTTGATTTGGATCATACTATCTTGTTTCTTACGACCCGCCGTTCTCTGCTTCTGATTGGCTAGTAGTCATTACCTGGGAACTGCGCATATGCAACTCCCAACAAAGATTTTGTACAAGTAAGATGCATCACTCTGTAGCTCAAGAGTGGAGCGTACAACACGTAGGGTGAAAAGAGGCGCTGCAGCAATGTGCAGTATGAGAAAACTATGGTGTTTTTTGAAAATTAAACCATGTAAACCTGTTCTGGTACAATCCCTAAATAAGATTTTGAACCTGAAAATGAGCAGAATACCACCTCTTTAAATGATGATAAAAATAGCCCTGATCACTTCTCCTCTCCTGAAAGCACTGATGACCAGACTTGCAAACCCTTCCGTTTTTCATTGCCCTCTCCCGGCTTCTTCCCGGAATTCAGCAGTATGTTCAATGTTACAGTAGGTGAGTGGTGGAGCAAACGCTGCTGACAGACTTGATTGTAGATTTATTTCTGAAACACTGAGGTAGATCTAGCGAACGGTCTTATCATTTATTCCTAAGTCCATCACTTTTAAATATTCTCTAACATCATATACAGCAGCACGCTGCACATAGCTAAATTAGATTCTCCACAAAGCCAATGCCATGTTTATCAGTGGAAGAGCACTAAAGTTAATGAGTGGTTAAACTATAGTGTTTAACGTATTCTAAAAATATCTGCCTCTTGTCTGTAGTAGTCTGTACAGTCAGCGTCCTGCTAGGGCTGAACGATTTGGGGGAAAGAAATCTTATTGTGATTTTTCTGCCAGATATTACGATTTGATTCACTCTGTCTATTTCTTACTAAAGTCGCGTCAAGCAGCATAGAGCAGATGAACTGGGCAGGAAGTCAGACAAAGAACGGCTTAGAGAATCCGGTCAATTTTCAAAATAAAACACCTGGTGCAGACTCACGATCGCGTATCAACACAGTTAAAACAAACGAAAAAATAGAAGGTAGAAGCACAAAAATCAAGGACAACTGAACAATTCAACTAAATCTAAAGTCAGCAAAATCAGGCAGGCAAAACACTCTTATTCTGAAATGCTCCATGTGGAAAATGTAGCTGTACAGAGAGCGGCAAAAAAAAAAAAAAAAACAGCTCACAGAGAGACGTTATCCGTAGTTGAAGCACACAAAATGACTAATTAACAACACGTTAACTACGTAGGGCAGGCTAAACGCTCCTCTGCTGAAACACTTCAGTGTGAGTTGACGCCAGACAAAACCGCGGCACAGCTGCTGCCTGTGTCGGTTCAGCTGACGCCATTATCCCATGTTTTCCTCTACTTTCATTTGTTGTTGTTTCAGTTGTTGTAAAATGTACACGCCCTGTGCCCGCTGATTTGTGAGTAGGACCGTAACAGGAGGCGCATGGCACTTGTGATTGGCGGGCAAGTCTGTCACACAAGAACGACAACAGAATGAATTTGTAACTGCATGACTGTTTAAAATGGGACAGATGTGCTGTATAATTGACCTACATTTTAATCGCCTTCATAATTAGCTAATTGTGTTCTTTAAAATCGTTCAACCCTACTTCCTGCCAAACAAAGTTATCTACCTCCTCTTTCAAATGTGCAACATTAGTTTGAAATCTCAAAGTTGCAGGTCCTCGTTGTAGACAGTCATGTAGTATTAGATGCATTCAACAGCAGCCTTTTCTCTGGGTCACTGTCATAGATGGTGGCTGAAAAACTTTCATAGCTTTAGATGAATGAAAAGCGTGCTGGTATTATCGTCATTGTGGCAGATTGTGTAAGATAATAACTACTGCATTACAAAAAATATATTGCCTAGAGCCCTGTTTATCATTATAATGTAATATAATAATTGACAAATGACAACGAAATGAGTAATAAATGGAATTATTGTTAGTACTAATAGTAGGCATATCGGATTTTAAAACCCCCAAATATCAAAATTGGTATCGGTCTTAAAAATCCCATCTCTGTCGGGCTCTGGTATATCTAGCAGGTTAAGTCTCAGTACACCTAGCCTCTGATTTCTGGTCACCTCCTTGACTCAGTCTAAGCTCGTCACCCTCACAGCTCTGAACCAGACCTCTGCTATTCCATACTGCATGGCAGCTTTCCCCATCAGTCTTTGAAACTGATATTAGCTTAGAAGCCAAAATTAAGACATAATTAGGTGTCAGTATTGTCAAGATCGTTGATCTTTAGCCTCAACGCTATCAGAGGTGGTTCATCTCTCAGCACTAGATCTTTACTAGAGTGCAGGTCCAACTAAAACTGTTCATCTGTGGATTTTCCTGAGTGAGGTTGTGGTAGGAAGACATATTGCTTTTGAGGGTTTTCAAATGTCCTTTTCAATAGGTTCCCATTCACAGGGTATATACACAGGAATCCAGAAGTGAAATTCAATACCTTTTAAGACCTTTTTCAAGACCTTTTCAACATAATTTAAGACTGCTGCGCCACTTTGAACTGTAACCGGTTAAAGTCAGCCTCACACCTTTAAAAGGGGAATTGTGTAGTTTTTAAAAGAAATTTAAACATATTTACAACATTTTATTGCCTATATGTGACCAGGTTGTAACCTCACCTAAAAATTGAGGCATTCACCAACTTTCTCAGTTGTATATAACAGCCTGTTTAGGCCTACTGTTTTCTATGTGAAGGACTCGTCGGATTTCCTGCGAAAATCCATTGTCTTACACAGGCTGTGATGTTTGTGTGTGCAAAATTACTGCAAAACATGTGAAACAGTGTGATTTTGTGTTTTAGTTGGTTCAAATTAGATAATGTTAGCTTGCCTGCAAACGCCAACCAGTTGATAACTACCTGACGTAGTTGTACCTTATTTTCAGTCACAAATATGTAAAGCATATGCTGTTGGTTGCAATCTGAAACCTTACTGCTAGAAGCCACTAAAAACCACACAGCCCACCTTTAACTTACATTTACTATAAATAGATTAAGACTATAAAACTAAACACTCTTTTTGTGATAACTTTCATCAACCATTGTATCAATACAACATAACTCAAATAAGCCAGAAGGGAACAAAGGTGAAGAGAATAAACTGAGTGATGGATAATGTTGGTAGTGTAGCACAGACATTTGTGATCAACAGCTGCTGTCTGCATCCTAAAGCTGATTTGTGTAAACTTTAGCAAAACAGATGTCAAATAGAACAAGGGGAATGTGTTGCTCTCAGGAGGAGGAGGAGGAGGCTAGAAGCAGCACATACTGGCACAATGGCATCCTGGCTCTGGCTAAATCTTTCCACTACATTGGCTCGATCCACAACCTGGAGGAGGAACTAGTACAAATGAGTGTATTATATTAAAAGTACATTGTTAATATAATAGTAAACTGTTAGTTTTATATTATGTTAATTATATGTTGTTACTATATTCATTATAATCAATATTCTATAATAGTATAGTATATTGCTTACCACAATTATATTAATTTCAGTTACGGCGGTTTCGTTTTGGGGTTGTTTTTTTATTCATTAACTTTGTGCAAGAAAAATATTCTACAATTAGTCTCTAACTTTCATTTTAAGTAGGCTACTAACTCATCAATAATAATAACAACAACAACAATAACTATTTAGGCAGAATGATTAGTTCAACATTTGGAAGGTGTGCACATCAAACTTTTTTTTTTTTTTTTAAATCCCGCTCCATCCAGGCTGTGATTAATCTGTTCACGAAAAGTGACAATGACGAGCACATCAGCTTTATGAAAAGTTGAACGTGTTTCAATAAAAAAGGCATAGATGTAGCTAAGTCCGATCATGTTTTGAACAATTAGCATTGGGGATCCGGCATGGTGGAAGGGTACAGTCGGTTACGCTCACAAATCAGTTTTCCGGTTCGCACGGATCCATTTTTAGGGGCGTATGAGAGTGAAAGGCTCACACGGTAGATCCTAGATCCCCGCACCTAACGTTACACAGAATAATAACTCGCTACGTTCTGCCTGTCTAGTAATTTTTGCTATGCAATATAAATAAATACGTTCACCCACACTTTTACCATACAAACTCTTCGGACAAAAAGGATGTTCACATTGACTAAAATGTCTACAAAATTTAATACCCTGTTAAATGGCGATCAAGACTTTAATACTTTTTAACGGCCTTAATTTTAGCAAAATTTATTTATTACCTTTTAAGACTTTTTAAGACCCCGTGGACACCCTGCATATACCTCATCAGTGGCAGGTGAAATCTTGAAAACACTACTACATATGGTTTGGTTAAGTGTGAGAAAATATTGTTGTGCATGTGTTTTGGATGGACTGGACCTTGAGCCAAAATACAAAATTATACAAACAAGGATAAATTAATCAAATTTTAATGTTCATGAACGCCCCTTCACACAGAAGACTGCACACACATTCTTTTCTACTTCGTATTTCTCACCGTAACAGACTGTTCTGCCTTGAGGACGAACTTTGGGGAGAACTTGTAGATGACCTCGTCCCCATTGTCAACCTGTCTCTTCAACCTCCAATTGCCTAAAGGCTGGTCCTGCAAAACACCACAAAGAGAAACATCAGATTTTTTATAACTAAACCTGTAAGGGGTGTCACATCTTTAAGTGACTTTAAGGTCACAGTTTGATTTAAAAAACAGTCGGAAGAGTGCAGGTAAGTATCCTGCTTTTGATTCTAAAAATTGCACACACTTGAAAGCTCATTTCCACTGATTTTGTTTTATTTAGAATCGAAATTGTGAAACCCTTTAAACTATTGATTGATATTGTGTACCTGTGCTCCTCTTATCCACTCTTACTGCAGACCCTCAGGAGGCTGCTTTATGTGGACCATCGGTTTATTCTACCTTACACAATCAGCATTTACTGTTGTGGTGGAATCAATCCAACCTTATTAAAGCTCTTCATATTCAGGTTTTGTTGTAACTATGTGATGTTATTAATCACCAGCTGCCGGTCATCTGTGTAGACTAGACTAGAAATGCAGCAGTTTTGCATTTCTTGTCTTAGTCTACTCTTACACACCTGCTCAGAATCATTGGTCAGTGTGACTGCGTTTCCATCCATGTCAGTGGGCATTATGGTGACTGCTCCACTAGCTGTGGCTTCTTCAGACACCAGCAGCTGCCCCTCTCCGCTTTCTACCTCTGGCACATCCTTAGCCTCCATCTCCACTCTCTTCCTCTTGGAGGAGCGGGAGGAGGAAGATCCTGTTGTCCTGGAAACTGTGACTCGATGAGATGGGCTGGGGGACAACTTCAGTCTGGAAGAAACACACCAGTAAGCAACGAGTTAATGGCTATGTGCTTCACGATACAGCAGGGTCTGAGCTGTGAGAGGACAGCAGAAAAGACACTCCCTTCCTGCCATTCAAATGACAACTTGAGAACAGCCATTTTTAAAATGACAATACGAACATAAATTTGGGATTCACCCATCAACTGGCTGGGGACCAATCATGGCCAGTTTTATAGCTTAATTGGCCATGACCAGTGACCGAGGCCAGAGAAGCGTCAAATGTCTGATTTTTTGCTGGTCACACTAAACGTTACACACTGCGCTGGACGTTATTTTACACCATCCGCACAGCGGCACAGACCGGTAACCGGCAATTAACACACATAGAACAGTGGTTCTCAACATTTTTTGGGCCGGCGCCCCCCTATCCAGGTCCCTTACCGCCCCCCCCATCAAAAAAGATGTTGACCATTTGCCATGAATATTGTTGATTATTAGTGTTGTTGTTGTTAAAAACATGAAGCACATATGTGAATACCAAACTATTTTATGACTGTCCCAGGGAACAAAAAAGACAAGATAATATTTAATTAATAAGTAAATGTCCCTCAAACTTTTTGTAAACACAGAGACTGTTTTGGTGCACTCAATAAGTTGCATCAGGTGCTGAATGCTAAGTTGTTTTCAGGGGAAGTCAGCGGAATATCCCTCTTGTGAATGTGTAAACAAGGTGAAAGAAAGTTGTTCACGGTGTATTCCTTAGAGAAATAAACGGTTATAAGAGAAAGACATATATTCCATTTTGTTATGGTTTACACAGTAACCCACCATGTGGCTGAAATTTTACAGATGATCAGCTACTCTGACTTCCCGTTCCGATGAAGGCAGCACGGAGCTGTGCCACAAGAAGCTGACAAAACACTGAACCATTTACACCGTCTTGTCCAGTCGCACTGGAGTAAACTGGCAGGTTTTAATGTTGCAGAGTAGTTAAAAGTTTAAACTCACATTTTTGTGAATCTTGTAAACCAGTCTTAAAACTTTCACCTCAACAAACACCCCCCCAAAAGCAGCTCAGCGGCCCCCTTTCCAAAATATTGCTTCCAGCGCCCCCATCATCTACTAAACGCCCCCTGAGGGGCGGTACCGTTTCACACCTGGGGACATCCCCAGGATATCTTTTAGTTTTCTGGTTTCACTAACCCTAACAATTGCGGTCGGGATCAGCGGTACCACAAAGCTGGTTATCAATTCAGTAACTCAACCCAGGGTTTCCCAATCCAGCCGTGAGCGCGTTCACATAAAAGAGGCGGTGTTAGCAGAAGATGACCAATCACAGACATGAAAAAGTCAACTGGCAGCAGAGTGGCATATTTTACAAACGAGCAAACTGCAACACTACAGAAATACAACATAGGCCTAGTCTAAGTAACACAGCTGCAGCTGACACATTCAGGGAGACAGCAATTCTGTTTGTTATTTATAACAAAATAATTCATAAGAGGGAGAAGAAGCATACTAGGCCACAAATAAATCGATAAAAATGCCCAAAGCTCATAATAAAAGTGCCTCAGCCGCAAAAGCTAATACCCAACCGGACCAAGCTAGCGACGACACGGCTGGCGCGGGAACGGGGAGCCCCGGGAAAAGCATGGACACCGCTGAGGTACTTAAGGCAATAGGGGAGTTAAAATCCGATTTGCAAGGAGACAATGCAAAGCTCAAACTGGATATCGGCCAATTGGGACAAGAAATCAACGGTAAACTGGATATTATTGCAACCGATGTACAAGGCCTATCACAGCGCATGGATGAAGCGGAGGCCCGCGTGAACCAGGTGGAGAGCTGGGCAGAGGAGGCGACTGAGGCGCTGTGCACCTGCCTCGAACAGCAGAGGAAACTTCAGATCAAAGTGCTTGACTTAGAATCACGATCCAGAAGAAATAACATACGTGTCTTTGGGATACCAGAAGGTCAAGAGGGGGTCTCTGTAACGCAGTTTATTGAGAAGCTTTTGCAGAGCCAGCTACAACTACCGGAGGACTTTAACCTTAAAATACAACGCGCACATCGGGCTCTTGCAAGTAAACCCCCGCCCGGAGCTTCACCGAGGGCTGTAATTGTTAATTTTCTGGAGTTTTCTACGAAAGAAATGATCTTGAGGGAAGTGTGGAAAAAAGGCAAGATACAGGTGGGCACCGCATTTATACACTTCGACCATGACTACGCACCCGAGATTGTTAAGAGGCGCAAAGAATACAACGCAATTAAAAAAATACTCAAGGACAAAGGCATACGTTTCCAAACGCCGTTCACTAACATGAGGATCCACTGGGAGTCTGGCGTGCGCACATACTCCAGCGCTCGGGAGTCTATAAGGAGCTGAAGAGACGCGGATTTCAAGTGGAGGAGCCGGTTACAGACGACGGAGGGCCCAGCGCGGAGTCTCGTCTTCGGGAGCTATTGGGCTGGCAGCCGGCGTGCAGCAGCGGACCCGCTGTGGCGCTCAGAGCGAAGGCTAAATTGCAAGAATTCCAGAGGGATCAGTCGGATTAATAAGGTGCAGGGCATCATGCTACAACGCAATGTTTTTTTTGCTATTGTTTTTCTTTAGGCCAGGTCCTGATTATCTACTACGTGGGAGAGGCCACTCTTTATCGACTACGTTGGACTAATAAGATGGACGTGTTTTCAGACACATCTACTGTCTTTTTCGGGCCCTCTCATCCAGAGAGACTTAACCCTCAACCTGCCAACGGGGTTACAGGGGAGGAGGAAGGATCCTCTTTCCGTTTGGAAGTCAGTTCATTAAGGTTCTTTTTTGTTTTTGTTCAATGTGTGTTTTGTTCAATGTTTTTAGGGGCCGCTAAACCATGTAAGTGTTTTCGTTACTATAATCAATGTCGTTTGATTTAAAAATTGCTTCTTTGAATGTAAATGGACTGAGTAATCCAGTGAAAAGAAAAAGGGTGCTAGCTAAATTGAGAAGAGATGGGACACAAGTAGCTTTTCTACAGGAGACTCATATGTCTAAGCAAGAACATGATAAGTTTAAAACATTTGGGTACTCTAATACATTTCATAGCTGGTGTAAAAATAGTAGGAAAAGAGGGGTGGCTACTCTCATTTCCAACTCTTTAAACTTTGAATTAATCTCTGAAAAGGTTGATAAAGAAGGCAGGTTTATTATCGTAAAAGGGAGAATTGATAATGTTTTTGTTACGTTCGCTAATGTTTACGTCCCACCGGAAAGTGACAGGAAGTTTTTTAAACTGCTTTTTGATGCAATAATCTCAGTAAGTGAGGGGATTCTAGTTTGTGCTGGAGATTGGAATACAATTCTAAATTATACCATGGATACAACCAGCTCCAAAAAACAAAAGACTGGCAGGTCAAAAGATCTTAATAGTTTAATTAGAGAGACGGGTATGTTCGATGTCTGGAGGGACTTTCACATTAAAGAGAGAGATTTTACCCATTATTCTCTCACACATAAAGTTCACTCCAGGATTGACTTCTTTTTAATGAACACCATTGACAGGTTTAGAGTGAAGGAATGCAAAATTGGAACTTCTGATATATCTGATCACAATATTGTTTATCTATCTATTAATTTATCTAACCAACCAAAAACAACTTTATGGCGCTTAAATATAAGCGTTCTCAACAATGAAACCACAAGGAATGACATTAAGAAGGAAATAGTAGAATGCATAGAAGATAATAACAATGGTCAGGTAAATCCGGTTCTGGTTTGGGATACAGTTAAAGCAGTAATGAGAGGCAGACTCATTTCAAAAACTGCCTATTTGAAGAAGATAAAACGATTAAAATATGATGAGTTGGAAAAGACACTTAGGAGTTTAGAACTAAAACAGCAAGAAAGTACTAATGATCAAGAATTGACCAAACAAATAACAGTTATTAAAAATAATATAAAGATATGATACACGAGGAGATAGAGAAAAAATTACGATTTTCAAAACAGACCTTTTACGAATCTGGTTCAAAAGCCACAAGAATTCTAGCAAGGCGCCTCCGAAAGCAACAATTGAAGCACTCGATTACCAAAATTAGAGACCCTTTAACTGATAGTTTGACTTATGATATCAATCAAGTTCATAAAATCTTTGAAAATTATTATCAAACATTATACACACCCTCAAAACCAGTAAATGAAAGCGTTATTACACAGTATTTGAGAGGTTTAGACTTGCCTTCCCTAGGATTAATACAAAACGGCGCATTAACTACCCCTATTACTCGAAAAGAATTGGACGCAGCTATTGGAAATCTGAAAACTAACAAATGCCCAGGTAGCGATGGGTTTTCAAATGAGTGGTACAAGATTTTCAAAGAGGAACTCGCTTCTGTTCTGCTGGAGTCTTTTAATTGGTCTCTGAGTAGAGCAGAGATACCGCCATCATGGAGAGAGGCAGTAATATCTGTCCTTCCTAAGGAAGGAAAAAATATACAATATTGTGAGTCATATCGTCCGATCTCAATACTGAATGTCGATTATAAAATCTTTACCTCTATAATCTCTAAGAGAATGGAGAATTATCTTATAGATTTGATTCATGAGGACCAAACAGGATTCATTAAAGGCCGCCAAACTCACGACAGTATAAGACGAACATTGCATGTCATGGACCAAGCCAAGAAACAACAACTGAGTTTGGCTTTAGTCAGCCTCGACGCGGAGAAAGCCTTTGATCGGGTCAGCTGGCCCTTTTTATACAAGGTACTCGAGCGTTTTGGCTTTAATAATCAATTTATTAGATGTATTCAGTCACTGTATGACAGGCCGATGGCCAGGGTAAAAATTAATGGCCACCTAACTGATAGATTTCAACTGTTTAGAGGTACTCGACAAGGCTGTTGCCTCAGTCCAACGCTCTTCGCATTATTCATAGAACCCTTGGCACAGGCTATTAGGCAAAATGAAGAGCTTAAAGGCATTACTATTGCAAGTACTGAACATATAATTGGACTTTTTGCAGATGATGTTATCGCCTACCTCCAAAACCCAGAGGCAAGCCTCCCTAAATTTATGAGAACTTTGACAGAGTTTGGTCAGCTGTCTGGTTATAACCTAAACATTACCAAAACACAAGTCCTGACCATTAACTACTCCCCCAGTAAATCCATACGGCACAATTATAAACTTAATTGGGAAGCTAAAAAGTTAAAGTATCTAGGTGTGTTTATCTCCCAAGATCTAGATGATTTGTTCAGTTTGAATTTCGAGAAAGTTATTGACTCAATACAAAAAGACATGAACCGCTGGACAATGCTGATACTAGACTTCAATTCTAGATTGGAAATAGTGAAGATGAACCTGCTTCCTAGATTTTTGTATCTTTTCATGTCGTTGCCTATCAGGATTTCTGACTCACACTTTCACGCTTGGGACCGGTTAATATCACGATTTATCTGGGCAGGGGCTAGACCAAGGATAAAATTTAGAACACTTCAGATTGATAAAGATCATGGCGGGCTAGCCCTTCCAAATCTGAAGGAATACTACTACGCATCTCAAATGAGATATGATCTACTGGTGTTCCCCAGAAATCGAGGCTCAATGGAGACAGATCGAACTAACCCAGGGTCAGAGCCAACCTCAAACCCGTCTAGGAGGTAAAATTATCACAAACAAAGATGGGAATCGTATAGTTGAAGACACGCTTTTAATTTGGAAAGAGGTTGTAAATAAATACAAATTGGCTAATGATATTAAACTCTTGATCTGGCCCTCCTGCAACCCGAGTTTTCGACTTGGTGAAATAGATTCTTCATTCTTGAGTTGGAAAGATCAAGGCCTTATGGCCCTGTGCCAGTTTGTAGATGGCAATACCTTTAAGACATTCGAACAACTCAAGAGACAATATAATCTAGAGAACAGGGACCTATTCAAATATTTCCAAGTGAGACATTTCTATAACAGTGAAATAAGGGTGGGTATTTCTCCTGAGGGCAATGACATTGTTCAAGTTTTTATTAATGCTTATAAGCTCCAACCAAGTAAAACTGTCTCTAAATTGTATAAAGCTCTGCAGAAACAAAATGGAAATAATACCTTGTATATTAAGTCAAAATGGGAAAAGGAGCTGTGTATGGAAGTGTCAGAGGGTGATTGGCTTTCGATGTGTGTGACACAACAAACGTCTACTAGCTCGAAAAGATGGAGGGAATTTGGGTGGAAGAATCTGGTCAGATTTTTCATTACACCTCATATTATTAATAAACTAAGGGGTGAACAACAGCAATGCTGGCGACAGTGTGGGCATTGGAACGCCAATCACTCTCATATATTTTGGACGTGCTCAAAGTTAGAGCAATTCTGGGACAGTATCTTTCTAATTACTGGGAGTATAATGGGTTATGTCATCCCTAGAGATCCCAAGATTTTCTTGCTAGGTCTACTACCTGGTGAGGTGGTCCAAAAAGATGACATTTATCTTTTTAAAACGATTGCATGTAAAAAGGCTATCACTCCGTCTTGGCTAAAGATCGACCCACCTCGGATTGAGCAATGGAAAGAAATAGTGGAGGAGATTCACTCAATGGAGAAAATGACATACTTTCTACGTATCAAAGGTCACATATATAATAAGCATTGGGAAATGGCTTGCATATAAAGAAGCGGAGCAATTCTAACACTTTAATTGTAATACTTTATTTTGTTATTATACAATATATAGTGCCCCTTGTTCTTTGTTTTTGTATGTTGTGTTGTAATAAGAAAAATGCAAAATAAAGAGTAATAAAAAAAAAAAAAGACTCGGGCACTGAAGATGTGGTCTTCCACCTCACTTTAAAAAAGTTGTCACTTCAAAAAGGAGATTAATTTATTTAACACCCTCAAAAGTATCCCAAACATTGTTCTAAATTAACTTCATAAAGCAATGAAACGAAACATCCATTCATGCCATAAAATGTGCTCAAATAGTTGTTAAAAGACTGAATCTCAACATTTAGGCTGCTGAAAACTCACATCATTACCTGCGCCCACATCGCAAAAGGTGGGGCGGTATGGCTAGTCTCTGTAGTTGGCCTATAAGAAAGCTACTAATGTAAAATAAATAGTCTACAATCATATTAAAATTGAGTACTTCAATATCCCTACCAAACTGCTCATAATATTCAGCCTTACATTGAAAAATGAAACCCATTTATTTTAATAGCTGCGACAGGCTGTGTGAAACGGACTGGGAGCAAATAAATATTCAACACAGTTAAAAGCAGTAAATAGGCTTAAGCTGATGATACACGGGGCAACTTTTTGAGCAATGTTGCTGAGCAATCTTGCTAGCGGCAAGTCCGACTATGTTTTGAACGGTAGCGGTGGTGCGGGGCAGGTGGCAGAGTGGTGGGGGTAGGGGATTATGGTAGTAATCTTTACTCATTACCATTGACGGCAACATTGCCCTGCACGATTGCTCTAAAAGTTGCTCTGTGTATCATCAGCTTAAGCCTACTGTAAAAACCTGTAGGCAGCAATAGCCTAATGGTGCTTTCAGACCAAAAGCGAAGCGAGCGTTCAGGCCGGTGAGTTTACATACAAAGTCAATGCAAAGACGCGTAGAGCCGTGATTTCCTGTCGGCCAGCGCGAAGGGGGCGGTGCCAGCGCCGCAAAGGAATTCGTGTTAGTTGAATATTTTCAACTCAAGCGAGAAATTCACATGACGTTGAGTCGCGATAGCCTATCAACGTTGAGATTGTCCGTACGTCACCAACAGCTTCAGAGCGTTGTGTGGAGAGGGTCAGGCAGAGCGGGCAATTGAAAATCTGCTGGCCGGCTGAGAGCTGCTAAACTTGGGCTCCAGCTTTCGGACAAATAAACACCCGTGGTCGGACTGGATTTTGCTCTGACAACTACGCCGTTTGCTCGCGGGAGGAGCTCAGAGTTAACGGCTTTTATTAAATTAGCTTTTTACTTTAGTTTTTGGGATTTCAATGTTGATTTATCTTCACTGAAGCTTCTCAGCAGCTAGCTTCTGTGCACATGTTGGACTACTTCATATTTATATAAAAACCGGACAAAACTGGACATTGCTGGGAGAAAAGAAAGCGAGGAGGTTGAACTACCTGGTGAATTCAGAAAACATGTCTGTAACTTTATTCCAGCTATCATTGTACTTTACTGTGACCAAGTAGCCCTGATCGATCCGAACTCCATTCAGAAAACAAACATTTTAGAAGTTGTTGTCCTGCTGTCTTGCTGACAAAGCATGAATTTATATGTTTAACAAAACCGCATCATATTGTAGTTATTTCGGCAGCAGTTTGATCCGTTTATTGCTTTTTAATCACAGCAAAATGTTTACTTTGGGTTCATACAGCGGTAGTAATGGTAAGTTGTGTTTATTCACGTTATGTTAAAATCGCCTTCTCACGTCGTGTGTGTGAACACTTGCAGCGAATGTACTCACGCGAGGAAAGCGTTGCGAGGAGAAAATTCACGTTTGGTCTGAATGTGGCCGGAATCTGGAACATGACCTGCTCCGGAGCAGGTTTGCCGTTTGGCGTAAGTTACCATTGCAATCTACCCTGGTAAGAAGTGAACCACCGTCGTGGTGCTGAAAACCCTGGGTTAACCCCGAAGTTACCTGGATAAGCTCAAATCCTGCTTCGTGGTACAGGCCCCAGAGGAAAACTCCAAAAAATAAAAAAAATCACAAATACCATTCTGGCACAATCAAACTTCAAATATGGAACTCATTTTCATTTACAACAACATTTAGCCGTTTCACATGGTGCGTGTTGTACCTGTGCTCCTCTCCCTCCAGCAGTTTCCTGTATGCATTGATCTCCATATCTAAGGCGAGCTTCACATCCAGCAGCTCCTGGTATTCACTGAGCTGAGCGTTCATCCTGTCTCTGAGCTCGTTCATCTCTAGTTCTTTTCCTTCGATGGCACGGCGGTGCTTGTCTCGCTCTGCCGACAGAACTTCCTCCAGCTCTCTGATGCGATCCTCTGAGGCAGCCACCTACAAATACAAAACACACACACAGATCCGACCAGCATAACCTTCGATTAGTAAAGCTAATTGTCAACACAATTCATGAACTGAACGGCACAAGTACCTGAAACTGGAAGAGTTGTGTGCAGGTTGTCGTTAAGCAGTACCTGTTTCTGCAGGGCATTCAGCTGATATCCAAGGCTCTCTATTCTCACACGGGACTCCTGCAGTTCCTCCCTGGCTGTGCTCATTGCCTTATCATTAATCTCTGAAGACACCTTGGCATTATCCAACTAGAGAGACAGACTATGTGTGAGAAAGGGTTCTCCGTTTGTCTTTCAGTAGTATGTAGCTGAATCAGGTGGGAGAGCCAGAGTGTTGAATGATAATTTGTCTCTCACCTTGGCCAGGAAGGTGTGCTCCAGTTCTTCCTTATAAAGAGAGACTTGCTCATCATGTTGCCGCCTTAGATCCTGGTGGGATCACACAAACCTGATTAAAACTTTAATAGCTCACATGGTAAAGTCAGTTATTCTTGTGCTGTGGAATAGTGGTTGACTAAATGCAGATGCCGAGATTTAGAGAGCAGGGAAGATGATGGCTGATACAAAATGCTGATATGTTGCTTTTGTAGGTTCAGCCATCTATAATTATTAAACAAGGAAACATACAAGGTCAGTATTTGGGACACATTACAATGTAATATACATGTTATCTCAGCCAGTAACGAGTTGTTTTAGAGGGAAGGTTTATTATTGAATGAATATTTCAGCCACCATCGGTATCCGTCTGTGTGTTACCTGTTTTTGTGAATCTGTGTGGCATGTTAAACAGGATCTGTGATCTCTTGCCTCTTGCGATTGGCTGAAGCAAGTCCTGCCTACGTCCTGATTCCCAACGGATGATCTAATTGGCGCGGCATGTGGCTATCTCCTCCAATCCTCTACCACACTCAAGATCATCCTCCTGCTTAAATAGCTGCCTGGCTGTTGCTCTTGCTCTCAGCTGTGATTTCCCCTTGATCAGCTCGCCTCTTGTATTATGCTCTACTCTTGGTGATTGCGGTATTTTCTGTGGTAGCTTCTGTTGATGACTTACTGCTAGAAGTAACAGTATTAGAAAGTGTAAATCTATTGTTCTCTATTATGCCTTGAAATGTGAGTTTTCTTGAAGGAAAACTGGCCAGGACTTAAGTGTAAATCACTGATACCAACAAGGCACTTGTAGGTTAATGTTTGAAACACTAGGCTTAGTGGGTGCTGCTCACTTTGTTTTTGGTTATAGCTGAACAGGTCAGAGAGGGTTTTGTTTTACTTCTTAATAGTTGTGGTAGTAGTAGTAGTAGTAGTAGTAGTAGTAGTAGTGGGTCTCTCTTGTTTGGAGAGACCTCTTTATGTTATCAGTGTTTTCCCTAGGATAGAGTTGTAGCAGTGGAGGTCAAGTGAAATTTTTTTGTCATCTGCATAGTGCCCCTGCTGTTTGTCTGAATATAAATACCCAATGCAATTTGTCAGCAGCAGTGCTTTGTCCATGAGCATATGAGGCACATTAGAATAGCTTACAATTTCAGTGTTTTCAGTCTTACATGCACATATTTGGTGGTCGTGGTGAGAAAATGCGACTTTTTCCAATGACAAATATGCAAAATCACATCATTTGGGACCATTATTTTTACCATATCTGTGAACAAATAGTTGGAAAAACTAGAGCACATTATAAATAAACAACAAACAAAAAGCTAAGGACTAAACTTGCAGAAGAATTTGGCTGCGGAGGCACTACAGGCTAACCGTTCGATTTTGGAAAAGTTATTTAGCTTTAGTTTTCGTGCTCTCTCCACAGTGATTTTACTTTCATGGCACAGCACCCAAGCCTTTTTGGGCCTCACCTCCTAAACCTTTTAATGGCAGGGAAACCCTGTAATATGACCTCCGGATCATTATAGATAGGATTGTTCATGTTGCCTTTTGTCTCTCAATTTACAGGTTTTTACATTAATCTGTAGAAATTTAAGTGAAAAATAAGCAACATGAAGAACCACCTCCCTTATTTACCAAGCATTGAATTTGCACAATAAAATCCAAAAGAAAAGTTTCCTCATTGGCTTAAAAGAGACTAGTTTGCATCACTAACTTGCTTACTAACCTCAGCTCCTCAACAGTCAACACCACTGTTTCTTTTCCTAACAACCAGTCTAAAAACTAAAACCTTTTCAACTGTTAGGATGTACAGTCTGTGTACAGGGCAGAGCTGTAGCCTATACCAGTTTAGTCTAAGCTTGTACCTAATGTAGCTAATGTTACGTTACATAGCAGCTACTGTCAGTTTCCCTGATCAGCTGCTCAGTCTGAAAGGGAGGGTGGACATTTGCAAGCGCTAACCAGCTTCACTTTTCTAGCTGTTTGGGAAACAAGAGACAGACTTTTCTTGGTCTTGAGAAACTGACACTGTAACCCAACACATACACACAAAGTATAAATTCACACTACGGCATGGCCACAGAAAAGACTTGACGCAGGAATATAAAATGCCTGTTACACTTGCTTACCATCCCACAACCGTCCCAAATGACAAATCTTATAAATGTTTTATGACACCAGCTTGTGGAGAATAGGAGTGGGGGCTGAGAATGCTCACACAATAGTTTTTCCAAGTCCTGTAAGCTAGTTTAGCTGGTTAAGGCTTGCTACAGTTACAATTCCCAACTAAAGTTATTCGAATTTTCTCACTGAAACACCAGAATCAGTAAAATCAGATAAAATTGAAACCTGACAAAGTGAAATCTAGGACAAATACATGATGAATATGGGTGTTAAATTTAATACATTTTAAGGAACCTTCTTTTTCATAGATTGTATATTTAAATATATTGTTTCTATGGCCACAGGCGAATGTGACTGTGCATGAATGTGCATTTCTATTTCTGATGACAGAGGCACCTTAGCCTCAGTGAGTGAATGTGATGTAGTGTAAAAGCGCTTTGAGTTGTCAGAAACACTAGAAAGGCACTACACAAGTACAGACCATTTAGCATTTACAGAAAAGACAACAGCAGAAGTGACAGCAGCTATAAATTCCTCCCAACATACCTGTAGTGCTTGTGCCAGTTTGAACTCATAGTCCTGTCTGACTCCTGAGTCCACCTCCACTATTCTCTGCTCCTGTCGACGCCGAGACTCGCGCACCTCCTGAACACAGGAAGAAAGATGGGAGTGCCACAGAAATTTTACAGGTTTGGTCTATCTATTAAAACAATCTTTAGATGCAGATGAGACTATTTCTAATTAAATTCCATTCTATATACTCTGCATACACAAAAGGTTTACAGTAGAAATTGCCTTTAGAGAGAACAGAATTGCAGTGTTTCCCCTAGGATGGAGTTGTAGCAGCGGAGGTGGGGCGATTTTTTTTTTTTGTGCGCGTAGTATGTCTGATTAGAAAGCCCCAACACAACATGTCTCAGCAGTATTGCTCTTGTGTCCATGAGCATGCAATGCACATTAGAATAGTTAAAATTTCAGTGTTTTCCCATAGGCTTTGTGAGCTTTAGAGGAATGTTTTGGTGGTGGTCGTGTTAGTCATGGTCAGGGGTTTGGGGGTTTGGAGAAAGTAATTTGGTTGGTTATGATGTTCTCCACAGTGATGTTACATTTATGGCACAGCATGTTTTGGGCATCTCCCCCTGAGCCTTAACAGCAGGAAAACCCTGTTAATATGAATTCAGAATCATTATAGATACGACTGTTTATGTTTGCCTTTTGTGTCTTCATTTTACAGCTTCTGACATTTATCTGTAGACATTAATATAAAAAAATAGGCAACATGAGAAACCTCCTCCCTTCTGAGGTACATTTTATTTGCACATTAAAATCCAAAAAGAAACGTCTCCTCATCAGCTTAAAAGGACTAGTTTGCATCACTAATTAGCTTTACTGAAGTCAGCTCTTCCAGTCACCACCGTCCTTTCTTTTCCAAAACCACTTTTTCAGACTCATCTGAAACCTGAAAAACTATTAGGGTGTACAGTCAGTGTACAGGACATAGCTGTAGGCTACACCAGTTTAGTCTAAGTTTGTACTTAGCTCTGGTAACTTGAGATGAGAATTTGTCATTGTTTTCTACATGATTAATCAGAAAAATAACTGCTAGATTAGTTGGAAATAATGATTTGTGGCAGTCCCATGCACATGTCATTGTACTTCATACACACAACTTACCTCTTCAAACATGCTCTTCCTGAACTCCAGCTCTTCACTCAGTGATTGACAACGGTTCTCCAAGTCTACACGCATCAGTGTCTCTGCCTCCAGCTGGCGCTTAGCAACAGCATGGCTGTCCTCTGCCTATACAACACATAACAGTAAGGATTATTAGCACATGGACACTCCAACACAAGTTTAACTGACTGACCCATAATGAGCAGGTTGTGGTAGAAAAGCTGCAAAGATGTACATATTAAGCTGCATTTCCACCAAAAGTACCCAGGACTTTTAGTACCAGGATGTACTTTAAAGGAACTAAAAGGTTCCTTCAGCTCACTGTTGTGTGCGTTTCCACCGCAGTCTAAAGACCTCCGAAGATTAGGAAAATTAAGCAGCTGTCGTATACGCCACACAAAGCGTTGGACACGCATCATTATTTAGTAACCACGATCCATGAGAAAAAATTTGGATGTACCATACCTAAATCTTCCCTCCTTTTTTCTGAACAGAAAACCTACAGTACACACCTTAGCCAGCAGGCACTTGACATCAGCAAGCTCAGACGTCAGAGCAGCATTCTGGCTTTGAGCCGTAGAAAGAGCTGCTTCACTCTTATTCAGCTGGCCTTCCAAACCACTGGCCCTGGACACCGCAGCGGCAAGATCACTGTCCTTCTTCTTGGCACTGCAAGCATGGAGGAAGGAGAAGACTGTTATTGTGTCAAACTGGCCATTGACCTTGTCCATCCAAACGACCCTGATTCCAAATGCTTACCTGGTCCCCAGATTAATGCGACATCAAACAAAGGAATTTGTGTGATAATAAGGTAAACTGGACCATATTACCTGCGTGTGGCTTCTTCCAGCTCAGCCTGAGCCTTGCCTAAGTCTATCTGAAGCCTGGCTCTCTCTTTGGCAGTTTCATCCAAAACCCGTCGGGCATCAGCTAACTCAGCCTCATACAGAGCCTTCAGCCCTGTCACCTAAAGAAAAGGACACAAATTAATTTCAGATGGCTTGGCTGTTAAAAAAGAACAATGTACTGATTGACTGTGGAGTGGATCTGTGAGTATTTCAAGATGTGACATCCTGGAACTAATGTGTACAGTTCCAAAGGTTTGTCAAGCTTTATGTAACCTGTAGTAAGATGTGCGGCTCTGGGGCCGGGATTTCCAAACTTGTAATCTGTATTAGGCATGGGCCAGTTACCACTTTCAAGGTTTCCCGCGGTATAAAAAAAGTACAGGTTCCAAAACGAGTTTGGTCTGAATCAAGCGCCAAACTTCCAGTCTCCGGGCTGAAGCCTCCCCGGAAGACCAAAAACCTGCAATTCATCGAGTGGCCACTTGAGGCTGGCTGCAGAAGGGAGTCAATCTCCATTGACCCCCATGTTAAAATGCCCAACTTTACAGCAGAATAAAACATGTTTACAGCCTGGTTCAAGAAATGGTTTTAGTGTATATAGCTAACTGTGAGGGGGGTGAATTTTTATAACTCACCTTTTTAAAGTTCTGCTTTATTAGGGGCGTGGCAGCTGTCACTGCTAGCCGGGTGACTGCCGTCTGTTAGCTCAGCCCAGCTAATACACGGAGCTCTGAGGCACAGTCTGTTGGAGCTGTTTGGATATTTCTACATGCACATACCGGATGAATAACGGCAGGCTGTACGTTTTATTGGAAATGGAACCTACAAGAAGTCAGTTTTTCTGGTTGGTGAGTGAAATTCCTGTATTTTATTTGTGTTAACAATATTTAAAAGGTATCGCTGTCGGCATATAGCTTGTAAGCTTAGCGCGTTTGCTAATTAGCCAGATACAAGCGGCCCTAAACTGCTAACGATGCTAAGTTAACGGGAGTTAGCGTGTTCTGACTAGGGCTGGGGCAATTCGTCAATTACATACATGCATTACGTGCGTCGCTGCATCCGGTGTGTGATTATCCTGGACAAGACCGCGCCTTCGACCGTCTAAAGTTTGGAGTATTTCAGACAGACATTCAACAACGTGCTGCTCCGTGTGCTCTGCGAACTGGAAACAGCTTCACTGCAGCACAGCTGCTGTCCACGAATAGTGAAGCAGCACGAACATGTGAAACGAAAGTATCCCGCAGCACTTTGTCTAGACGGCAGCACCGCAAACCGTGTTTACTTTCTGTCGCCACATAAGCACGGCACATTATCAGCACGAGGACACGTAGTATTTCTTCATTGCCTTCATGTTAAAAGTCATTTCTGCCCCGCTGCTGTCATGGTAACGCTCGGCTGTTTCATATTTTCTGTTTATTTAACGGCCACGGCCAACAGCTGAATCTAATTACAGACAATCTGTGACTGTCCGGACAGTCTGTGAGTCCTTTCAGGTGTTCACTGATCCAGAAATACATTATCATAATGCATTACTCAATACTGAAATGAATCCATGTCAGAAACATTTAAAGTTTTAAGTAAATTAGCCTAATTAATGTCTGTTATCACAGCACATCAGTGACATGGAAATTTGATTCATTTTAAGATTTGCTGCTATTGTCAGTATTCTAATGTGCTTCATCAGTATGATTGAATAAAATAGATTTATTGATTAGACATGTTTTTGATATTTATTTTGGATAAATTGGTATGTTAATCGAGTAATAGGCAACTTTTCTTTCTTTAGAATAAACAAAATTAGTCGTTAGATTAATCGAAAAAATAAATCGTTTGATTAATCGACTTGAAAAATAATCGATATGAACAGCCCTAGTTCTAACCGCAGCTTTTAAGGACTCGAAGACAAGTCAGCAAGAAGACAGAAGCCAAAATGTATTAGATTAACCTTGTGTTAGACCTTAGGGTGTTAATACTTTAAAGAAAAGGCGCATGTGAAGTTGTAAAGTTAAGGCACGCATGTATGTGTATATTACTGTTGTAGTACTCGAGACCGGTCGTAAGACCACTTTGATGGTCTTGGTCTTGACTCAGACTCGACCGCATTTGTACTCAGTCTTGTCTCGGTCATTGAGGACCAGTCAAGACCATAACTTTGGGAATATCAATAAATTGCTTTTGCATTGTCTGATTTATGTTAACATCCTAACTTTGATTGGATGTAAAACTTATTATTTCATATGCAACCAGCAACACTAATTAAAAATGTGTTGTTACCATTAATGACTGTCCCCCCCTCCCTGCGATGGTAAGCATGGAAAAGGAGTGTTGAATAAAGATGCTTACGCTGATTTCAGCTCTTAGTGTTTGTATGTGGGTGTTTTAATGGGAAAGCAGGTGTAATCTTTCAGACCCACCGCTGCGCTATGAGGTCCATTATTTTCAATGGCTTGGTTTGTTGCTGCTTTGAGCAACACGCACCACACGGCGAGCTCGCGCGCACGCTGCGGTCAAAGTAGTTGAATATCAGCGCTGAGCATATTCCACACAGTGCAAATCGCTTCTTTTCTGAAAGGGCCTTTATGGAAGACAGAACATAGTCCTCTCAAGACCTTCAGTCACTGAACATTTAATGTTACATCATGTTGCCTCCTCCTGTCTGTGTTGAGAAAATGTTGCCAGGTGTAAAACACTAACATACATCAGGAGCTTATAGACTTTCAGGACTATAGGCTACCAGTTAATATTATTTCAGTTAACACTGCACTCAATTTCACATCATTTTCACTAATACTTATGTATGGATGTGAGTGGATGACAGTAACTTCAGTTTATTCAGGCTTGATGTGGCTTCAGTCAAAAACAGACTGGCAGTGAATGTTGAACTTAAAATAATCTTGAACTGAATGTTCAATTATTATTATTATTATGAATGTTGAACTGAAGCCAAAATAAAAACGGTTAGGGTAAATTGCAAATCGAATCGTAATCACAATATCTGGCAGAAAAATCGCAATTCGTTTTCCCCAAATGGTTCAGCCCATCCAGGCCAGCGGTCAGAAGTCAGACAACTTGCAACTCGTTTTCAAGCTCTGTATATGTGATCGCTGCCTCACATGTACTTTTGGAAGTCCTTATTTATTTGAGGAATAAAAGTTTTTTTATTAAAGGCCTCTGTTGCATCAGCTGAGAATCTAGGACAATATAAATTGCTGTAATACATTTCATTGGTTAAAATTTTAGGATCAGAGCATTAATTTTCAATAGTCTTCCCATTTTATTTCTTTCCTGGCGGGTTTTCTCTAATCTACAAAAATAAGAAGAGTTTCTTTCTCCTTCCTCGATCCATTTTCCTCTGGATCTGATGAAGGCTCCATTTGCTTTTCTTGTACAAATGTTATCTAATTTGTTTTTTTGTGTAAGTAGCTTCCTTTTGTCAGCATCTGTAAGTGTGGGTTTATTACAGCAGAGACGTATCTCTCGTCAAAACTACTCAATTGTCTCAACGATCATCAAGGCCTGGATGGCTCTGAACTTTTTAAATTTTATGATCACTATATGTGGGGGTTAGTGGGTCCTCCATCACCCGTCTCCAGATGATACAAAATGCAGCAGCGCGTCTTTTAACGGGCACACGTAAACATGAGCACATTTTCCCTATTTTAGCCTCATTACACTGGCTGCCTATTCAATTTAGGATCCATTTTAAAATTCTGTTATTTGCTTTTAAATCACTAAATGATCTTGCCCCGCCATACCTCTCTGAGCTTCTACACTCTTATAAACCCGTCCGCACTCTCAGGTCAGATGATCAGCTGCTCCTGACTGTGCCTAAAACGAAGCGTAAGCTCAGAGGGGACCGTGCCTTTGCTGTTTCTGCCGCTAACTATGGAATGATCTGCCTTTGTATGTAAAACCCATCTTTTCTCTTTGGCTTTTGACACCTAGTAAGATGTCGACTTCATTTACTTGATTTTATTTGTTACTTTGAATGTTTTTTTATTGAATAGTTATTAATTGTGTTTGTGTTTATTTTTCTGTACAGCACTTTGGTCAACTTTGGTTGTTGTAAAGTGCTTACCAAATAAAGTTGGTATGGTATGGTAAATTGGTCTCCTTTAAAAGGGCGGATTGTTTCAATTGTTTACTGAAAGAAATTGAAGTTTCTTATTCAGAATTTTAAACATTCCCATTTGGAGCTTAAAGACAGAAGGTTGAAATCTTGAGTAATTTCCTAAATTGTATTTAACCCCTTGGCAATACGTTTCAGACTGTATAAGCTGACATTGAATTTCCAGTAACACTTGTTTCGTTTGTGATTACTGGGTTTTAACGTTGGACTAATAAAGCAGTGTTGAGCAGAAGATATAAAGCAGTCAGATACTAAATCTTTTACACTGTCAGAGATTAACCAAAAGTCAATTATTGATTTGATTGAACCATCCGGCTCAAACCAAGAATTTTTTTTAAGTTAGGAAGTATGATGCGTCATGAGTCAGACAGATAATGAGTGCTACAGAAACCGACAAAATGAGGGTTATAGTGATGTTATGAAACTTGGTGGGTGAGCAGTCTAACCATTAAATACCACATTAAGGGATCCTCCTAATATAACATTAGTTGTGAATAACTTAATTTTTTAATAAGATCTGTACTTGACAGAACGCACAGGATCCAGTGACTCTTTTTGAATGTCACCATTTTCCCAGGGAAGTTGTTCAGAAGGACATGATTGGTTACATGACAAAAGAAAAAATTCTCAACACATTGATTGGACCAAAATTTTTCATCCGTAGTGTGGTTTCCTTCACAGAAGAGAAAAACTGCCTCTCTTTTAATCCTGTCTCTAAGGCCCCTTGCATTGAGTGAAATGATGCATGTTTTTACTATTTGTAGGAACTTGTTTTAATTCTACTTCCTTCTGCCTCCTTCAGTGCTCTTCACACTCACAGACCTAACGTACCTCTGCTGCAAACAAGACAGTGTGCCCACTTCTATTGGTCTCTCCCTGGTAACTTTCTCCATCAGTAGTAGGCTACGTTGTATAAAGTTGCCGGAAATAAAACAGAACTTGTCTTCCACGCAGCCCTAGGCTACACCACTGCTCTTGCCTCCCAGTCAGCTGGTAGGAACTTACGTTCAGGTCCTTGCACACTGCACATCTCTTGGTCAGACGCCAAAGCTCATCTCAGTAGTGCCTCATGGTGAATTGCATTATTACTTGCCGATGTTTAGCTTCCTCTCCTTTCCGCAGATGGTGCACGGACTCGACGATAATGTCCATCCTGTTAGCCCAATGTGGAGCAATTTTGAGTAGGATCTGCAGCACTCTCTCGTATTTTCATTTTCTTGCTCTTTCATCCAGCGCAGTTTCACATACCAGTGCCGTTTGTAACGTTCTAGTTCCAGGACTCTCTTTTAAAGTGATGTTTTCTGTCCCAATTCTTGTCACCCATTATTCCAAAGTTTGAGTTTTGGACCGGCAGTCTTATTTCTTTGCCATTAAACTCCATGCTTTTGGCCACTTGTGCGATCATGGCACTTTTGTTTTTCATTTGCACATTGAGTTCTTGTAACGTGGCAGAGAGGTAGTTAACAGCTTCAAGTACTGTAGCACTAGATACCTCTGCTTTGTTTTTAGATTTCTTGAATGAGACAGGTATTTTAGTAGGGGTGTCGGGAGGAGGATGGCTCACCTTCTTGGAGGAGGTTTCCATGTTATTGCCATCAGCATCCGTGCAGTAGTCATGAGGGAAACATGCTGTTGCAGCATTAGCTTTCCTAATCTTGTTAGATAGTGGCATTTCAGAGAGTGTGGAACCCGCGATGAGCAAGCAAAATGGCTAAAGTATCCACAAAGTTGTGTGGGGGGAATTTTATTATGTTTTAAAAGAAGGCCTATTGTAAGAGTTTGGGGACAAACAAACAGAGCTCTAGATTACCATGTGCTCAGTTCGCCATCGTACCGGTAGTCAGCGCTGGTTAAATTTACACAGTACCATGGATAGGAGTCACTCTAACCTGATTGACAGGTCGCCAAGGTAGCGACTTGCCAATGACAGGGTAGTCCCGGCCCAAAGCATGCCCTGCTTTATCATCTATTTTCCTCTAAATGTGACCATAATTTACTAAATGAACGTCCTGCTGTATAGAAGAAGACTTGAAGCTATCGGATGAGACCACAAACTCATTAAGGAAAGTGTTTACTGAGGGAATAAATCAGGTGAGAAATAGGGTCATTTTACAGTTTTTTTCTAATGGAACTGGACACATTTTTGCAACCAGAGGACCCATGTTTTTCCGTTAAATTTAAGGAACAATGCCAAATGACAACAAACACTGTGTCAGCATGACAGGTGTTGCTGTTATTCATCAGTCTTACTAATGTTACCAAAAGAGATTTATAGACGTTAGTAAATAGCACAGCTACACTGACACAAAGCTTTAGTTTAAAGCTACTGAAACATGTTGTAAATCAAAACCTAAAACATAATGTAGGGAATGCACGTTGGCCATTAAGTGAATTAAGTTACACAAAGAAATCTCATATTTATCTGGCGCGCGCAACCACCCGCTCCATCCTGCCGGTCTTGTTCCGTTTCAATACAGATTAACACATGTATTAACGTTAAAGTTGTTAAGTGAATGTTAGGGCAATCTGTGCACTGACATTTGGCTATTAACTTAGACAATAATCAAGCAAATCATTAACTTAACGTTAGTCAGTTCACATTTTCTTTTGCCGCCCATAATTAACATTTACTACGGTGTATTATAAGTTATTGCTCTATAGTCATTTTGATAATTCATTCTTAGCCAGACGTGGACCATGTTGTTTAGCCAAATTCACTGTAGTTAACGTTAAGGTTAAAACTTAACGTTAAGCCAAGTGATCTGATGTTGTGAGGCTACATGTGGAATGCGAACAGTTCAATCTGGTGTTACACTATTGTATTTGTTGGACTCACCTCTCTAGTAGTCACCTCCTCCTTCTCAGACACTTTGACCATCAGCCGGTCGTTCTCCAGTTCCAGTGACCGGACACGATCTATATACACAGCCAGCCTGTCGTTCAGGTGCTGTAAATCTTGTTTTTCTTGTAAGCGAGAGATCCGGGTCGGGGAGAGAGGTGTAGAGGCCGCCGACCGGCCAGCTTCACGGCTTGGGGTTGCAGTAGCCATAGCGGTTCAATCCTTACTGTGCTTCACCACTAACTGAGCAATATAAAGCAATCGTATCTATTGGCTTCGTTAAATGAGGTCGCAAAAACAGTTTTTCTTTTTAACTAACGATACGATGTCAATCAATACCGTGTACCGTGCTCATGCAATGTCTCAGAGTTGCCTGAAACAGTGATGTGATGCCAAGATGGCCGACACCGCTATCAAGACCGCGCCAAAAGCACAGAAAACTTCCTGTCCCGCAATGTATGATGGGAGAAAAAGAGAAAACTGAAAAGCGACCCCGCAGATTTGAACGGAGAGCAATTTTCTTCTTCTTCTTCTCTGGGTTTTATGGCGAGTCGCAACCAACTTGTTCAAGTGCATAAGCCACCTACTGTACCGGAGTGTGTAATATCAAGGTTTTAGTACTTCAGGTTACAGGTTCAGTGAAACAAAAGGTAAATAAATAAACTGAAAACAAAACTCAACAAAACAAAACAAAATTAAATCAAACAAACAAAAAGGCTATATGTTATGATCTAATCCTGTAGATTTGAGAAAATTAAAGAGAGCTTTGCAGCACTCCCTTGTTTCCTCACTCATCCCTAAAATCCCTTCTAAATTCAATATATCGTGTCACATAATGATGATCTTTCTCTCAGAATTATATTTACTACACTTCAGGATGACATACTCGACATTTTCAGGAACATTATAAACCTCACATTTATCAGACACACATTTTGCCATTAAATAAAGCGTTGATTTTAATCCAGTATGTCCAAGCCTTAATGTTGAAAAAGCCACTTTACTACATTTCCCTTTGAAACCCTTCACCTTAATTGATTCTGTATGCTGTAATAGTGTCTCCCTTTAGTGTCTGTGTCCCACTTCTTCTGCCATACGTCACTCACTGCTGTTCTAATTAATGATTTGGACTCTCCTTTTCCAAAGGGAACTTGCATTATTTCATCATCTTTTAATTTCAACGCTGTCTTTGCAATCTCATCTGCTTTCTCATTCCCATCAACACCAACATGAGCAGGGACCCAGACAAATTGCACATCAACTCCAGCTCTTTGTATTCTCAGCATTATTGTACATATTTCAATCAATAGATCGTGAAAGCAACACTAAATCATCTGCATACAGCAGACCACTGATCTCTGTGTCGTTCAGGAGGAAGCCAGGTGCCGTGGAACAGTCTAATTGGTTTGCTAGTTCATTGATATATAGATTGAAGAGAACTGGACTGAGATTGCATCCCTGCCACACTCCCCGGCCCTGGGAGAAGCACGCTGTTTGTTTTCAATCTTTATGACACATTCACTTTTTGTATACATGTTCTTAATCAAATCATATGTTTTTCCTCCATGCCACTTTCAAGTAGCCTATAGAAAAGGCCCTTGTGCCAGAAGGAATCAAAGGCTTTTTGGAAGTCAACAAAACAGGCATATACCTTTATTTTCTTAATGTTTCATTCTTGATCTATTAAAGTCTAGAGGGTAAATATATGGTCCATTGTGCGGCAATGTGGCAAAAAAACAATTTGGTATTTATGCAGATCCAAGATCCAGGAACTGAAGAAGTCTCTTGAAGGAGGGAGTCCAGTCCAGTTGCCCTTGACCTCAACCTTCGTTGGATAACTATGACCTGGATGACTGAGAACATTCACAGGCATTTATGCAGAATATTGTGGTTATCAAGAAAGCTGACAAGTCATTTGTTAATGATGTTGCAGAATATTTTTCCCAGGTTACTGGATACACATTCTTCTGTAGTTATTTGGGTCATATTAATCTCCGAATTTATGAATTGGGTGTTGTGATGTGGGGACAGAGTGGACCCAAACGCAACACTCAGGAGGAACAGGCTTTATTGAAGGGGAAAAGGGGTTGAGGTAGTGGGAGGTGAGGGAGAGGCGGACGCCGGGGAAACACAGGCACTGGGGAACTGAGGAGACTGAGACAAGGGAGCCGGGGGCACTGGGGACCGAGCCAGGAGGACGCCGTGGAAGAGGTCCGAGGGGAGAGGGCAGGGTGGTGAGCCCAGCTGACTGAACGGAGGACAGAGGTGAGTGAACCTGGAGGGGAGACGGACAGACCGACAAGTTTAGACACTGGGGAAAACAGAGTACAAGGAAACAGAAAGCGGGGGGGGGGGGGGAAGCACACGCAGAGGAGGAGACACAGGGAGGCAGGCAGGCCAACACCAGGGGAGAACAGAATCACAAGCAAAAAGAGAAATAAACGGGACACTCACCGTCAGCCAGGCTGCCACCACAACATTGGGATTATTAAACCTTTGTTCCAGATGTCTGGAAAAATTCCAGTTGCTAGAATAGTGTTGAATAGTTTTAGTATAGCCAATCTGATTTTATGGTATGATTATTTGATCATTTTGTTGAGGATTCCCATCAACGCCACAAGCCTTCTTTCCTTTTAGGGACTGGATGACTTCTGTTAATTCTTGTTCTGTTACTGGGTAATCTAGAGGGTTTTGGTTGTTTTTTATCACCGCCTCCAGAGTTTTCCATTTCGTGAATATCTTGTACTGATCATCATTTTTTGCAATATTACTGTATAATTCACTAAAGTGATTAATCCAAGTATTTCCATCTTGTATCGCCAATTCATCCTGCTGGGTTTTGTTTAGGTTGTTCCATTTCTCCCAGAACTGGTTGGACTCTAGGGATTCCTCAATTTCACAGAGCTGCTTCTTGCTGTGTTGTTCTTTAGTAGTTTTTAGGGTGTACTGTTTCAGAGTGGCCTCATATTGACAGCGTATGTTGTGGTTATCTGGGTCCTTTTCATTTGATAATTTCCTCAAAGTTTTCCTCAGGGAAATGTTTCAGCTAGAAATAAATGAGTTAAATCATGTATGTTTTGAATTTCCAGTGCCTTTTGGAAAAGAGTATTGTAAGTAAATTAATAAAATATTAAACTTTGAGTGACATTTCAGAGTGTATCATGTGTGAAATACTGTTAAGGATTGTCCTTATATCACTATTCATTTAAAATGACGTACAACATGCTAAACTGTTACTTATTATGATGTCTTTAAGAGGTCTCTGCTCTTCCACCATGTAGCTATATGAGGTGAGAGCAGAGCAGGTTTAGCATGTGTAATATTTCTTTGAGTTCACCAGAGGGGGGGTGGGGCTGTTGCTCTTCTCACTGCTGCAGCATAGTTCAGTCCAATAGGCTGCTGCTCCTGTAGTCCTGGTTCTGCCATTGGGATGAGGGGGGGTATAGGACATCCAGGCTGGGGGGCTCTCTGGCTTGGTATCAGAGGCCAGTGTTGTGTTGGCTGTGGGGTGGGCTGTGGGTTGTGATGTTGGTGATGCGGTGGATTTGGTGACCTGGCCTTCCTCTCTGACAGCAGGGAGTGGATGCATGGTGGAGGTCTGGGTGGTCTTGAAGGTCTAGGAGGTCCTGGAAGTCTGCGTTGTGTGGTTACCCCTTGGAGTGGTAGTAAGGCTCTTTCCAAGGGAAACATCCTTCAGGGTCCTAGCAAGCGTGGGGACTGCATTTCTATGTAGGTGTATGTTATCATACAGGCAGTCCAGGTGGAGGGTTGGGTGGTGGGCCAAGAACACGTTGGGTTTGAGGGCATAGTTCCTGGAGAGGCTGATATTCACTCTACGGGGGGGGGGGGGATTAGAGTCTGCACCAGGGTGGGTGTGAGGGGGGAGTCCTCGAGGAAAGGGCCGTGTTGTCCTTCAACAGGCGTAGTGGGAGTGGCTGGATGTGGTCTGGGTCTGAGAGGAGGGCACAGGGGTTTGTGTGGAATTCAGTCTGGCTTGTAGACTGAGCCTGTCCCTGTCCTGTAGCTCTTCTCTCAATGTAGCCAACTCAGTTCTGCAGTTGTCTCTGTCCTTCCTAAGTTCCTTCACCTCCTCACTGAGATGATCCAGCGGTCTTCTCTGACGAGCCAGTTCTTGTTGAAACTCTCTTAGTTGTGAGTTGACATTGTCCAGTTCTTTCTTGGCCTGGAAGTCATTGACAGTAGGAGAGGTAGGCTGCTGTTGGTCCAGCTGCTCTCTGATCTGTACCAGTTCTATTTCCATGTGGGAGAAGTGTTCTCTCATGATGTCCAGGGCCTCAGAGTGCTGTAGCAGCGGAGGATCTGTCACAGACTGTCGTGTGGAGGCAGGTAGTAGGACCCAAATGCAGGACACGAAAGCCGGCAGGTACAGTTCAGAGAATTTACTAAGGGCAACAAAAACGAGCACACTTACAGACTGAGTGGCTAATAGACTAAGTCCAAAACAAAGGTTGTCCAACAGAAAACCAAAACAAGCAGGGAAACAGGGAGACACAACGAGTGAGGCTGACAACACGAGAACACACTGCAACGCTGGGTGACAATAAACACTGACCCGACAAAGACAAGACAGAAACACCAGGTATACACACAGGGACTAACAAGCAGGGCGGGAGCAACACAAGTGACAGACATGAAGCTAACGAGGCACAGGCAGGGAGAGAGAGAGCAGGGGAAAACAGAGACAGACATGCAGAGGGATCACTCGGGTAACAGACCAAAATAACAGATAATAACGCTGACTAAACACAAAAGCACAAAACATGGCATGGCAGACAGGCAGAGTGTGACAGGATCAGTCTGGAGCAAGGACAGAACAAGAGGGTTTGACTCCTAAGGTTAGAGCGACGCTTGCTAGTACCTCCTTGTCTTTCTCAGCTCTCTGTCTCATTGCAGCAAAGTTGAGCTCAAACTGTCTCAGGTCGCCTTGTATCATGGCAGTTCCATTTTTGAACAGGTTTACTGTTATTCTGGTAGTGTTGAGTGTTTCAGTTGCGACTTGTTTTATAGTAATACATGCAAAAACATACTGATTTCAGTGTCCAGTGGTTTGCTCTTACTTGCTTGAGTCCCTCTACACTCTTCAAATGACCTAAGAACCTTTTTTTGTCAGGGATGGTTCTTTGTGTACTTTATGTGGTTCTTCAAAGTAATAATTATTTGGTGGCAGATCATAATAGAATGAAATTTGGGCTGCAGTTCATCCATCCATCTATCTTCAACCGCTTATCCGGGGCCAGGTAGCAGGGCAACTAATCGTTACATTCATTATTGATTAATCTGCTAATTATTTTTTCAATTAATCATTTGGTCTTTAAAACTTCACAAAACACTGAAAAGTGTTTGCTTAAATGTTAGGTCAAATGACTTTCAAGTGCTCTTATCAAAATA